TTTGTTTCACCTCTGTCTTGGCAATTATAAAGTTGGTGGACTATCAAGATTACGTATTGCGTTCTTATTGTCCTTATATTGCCTTATTATTGCTCTTTTGTTGATGTCTTAGTACATTTTTTTAAACCTTTGTCTTGGCAATTAAAAAGTTGAAGTTGGACTAACAAGTTTATGTATTACCTTCCTATTGCCCTTCTATTGCTTTCGTAGCACGGTTCTCTTCATTGTTGTCTTGACAATTATAAAATTAAAGTTGGACTATCAAGTTTACGTATTGCTTTTATATTGTCCATATATTGCCTTCCTATTGCCTTTCTATTTCTTTCGTATGGGTTTTCTCACCTGCCTTGGCAAGTTGAAGTTTGACTATTATGTTTACATACTTCCTTCCTATTGCCATTATATTTCCTGCCTATTGCTCCTCTATTGCTTTCGTAGCACCATTTTTTTTCACCTCTGTCTTGGCAATTATAAAGTTGAAGTTGGACTATCAAATTTACGTATTGTCTTCCTATTGCCCTTCTATTGCTTTTGTAGCATCATTTTTTTCACTTGTGTCTTGGCAATTATAAAGTTGAAGTTGGACTACCAAATTTACGTATTGCCTTCCTAATGCCCTTATATTGCTTGCCTATTGCTCCTCTATTGCTTTCGTAGCACCATTTTTGCACCATGTCTGGGCAATTATAAAGTTGAAGTTGGACTCTTAAGTTTACGTAGTGCCCTTATATTGCCTGCCTATTGCTCCTCTATTGCTTTCGTAGCACCTTTTGTTTCAACGTCTTGGCAATTATAAAGCTGAAGTTGGACTACCAATATTACGTATTCCCTTCTTATTGTACTTATATTGCCTTCCTATTGCTCCTTTATTGCAATCTTAGTACCCTTTTTTTTTCATGTCTGTTTTGGCAAACAAATTGTAGTTGAACTATAAAGTCTTTGTATTGCCTTTTTATTCCACTTACATTGCTCTTGTATTGCACCACAGTTCAATTTAAGTTTCTTAGTCACCTACCATATGCTTCTACACCAATCATCTTTCGAAAGAGAATTAAAATGACAAACAACACTTAGTGAAGGATTGCATTACAAGGGATATAAAAGGGATACAAACATGCACATAACATAATCTTCTTCATTTACCAACATTGAACGGAGAACAAGTTAAACCAAAATATAATTTGACATCATGAAGGTCCTACTTAAGTGATGGAGCAATGTCCAGCATACATTCACATTCAATAAATGTTGCACATAGTTGCATCACGATCTATACAATTGGGTACCTATAAAGATACCTATTTCCAAAAACAAAAAACAGCGACATGTCAGGAGCACAAACAATACATAAACTTAGATAGCAAAGATCCCCACTTAATAGAATGAGACATACAAACTAAACATTTATAACATCTAAATGACCTACTTGTTGTTGGTGACGAGGATAGCTTCTTTGCATGCACTTCAGTAGTGGCCCTTCACACTGTGCCTTGAACATTTTCTTTCTCGTGAGTCCTTTCCTTTAGAAGGTATTCTTTGTGTCTTACGACGACCCGTCATAACCTTTGAAATAAAAGGCATGAAATTTATGTTTTGGATATTTTAGGGAAAATCTCGTGTCCCTTGAGAAGGATTCAGCATATGTAGCTGCCAATGTAGCTCGAGTGTAAAAGGAAGAGGCGAAGGAGTATGTATGGGTTCAATTTCAAGTGTCGACATACCGCAATAGCATGTTTGCATGGAAGTTTCTCTAAGTAAAACTTCCTACACATACAATTGTGGTTTTGCAAGTGCACAAGATAGTTCATATCACCATCAAGCACATTATACGCCACATAATTGATTTTGACCACATTCATCCTCGAAGCAGCGTTCGGCCTAACTTCTTTTTGCCTAAATCAGGGTACAACATAGATTTACATTTCATTGACAAATCTCGATGTTGAAACCAATTCTGAAGCACATTCCTAATTTCCTTAATCAAATGTACCACCGGAAGCATCCTTCCAAAATGAAGAACTGAATCAATGGACTCTCTAATATTAGTTGTCATTGTAAGCACATAGATGAATACATTTAATCCAAACAGCATATATGCAAAGAACTACACTCATCGTATGAATTGAACCATAAGAACTAAGAGTACAAGAATTGGGTCTTACCTGATGAAGCAATTGATCACAACAGACAAGGAAGGCTTTTACTCTCTGCAGCACCGAATGCTCTAACTAGTAAATAGGACTAGGTATTTTAGAACGTATATTGATGTGAGAGCAGGGACCTCCTTATATAAGAATACAATACAAATCAGATCCCTCCTATCAAGGAATGTGATTGCTCATTTTAGTATCTTATTTAATTAATACCAATAGACACACCTTATTAGGGCTTGATTGCCCACCTTATTGGGATACTCTATTAGTCAACTAATCAGGGCTCCCTTTTAGGCTTAATCATAGTAAAATTGTGCCTTGTATATAATCAATCAAAGCCCAAAATATCTTACATTCTCCCACTTGGGCGTAGATAGATTATACTGCACATATTTTACCATGACAAGTCCAAGAGTCTTTAGTGATCATTGAGCCCATATACTTAACTGAATCCTAAAGCACTAGTCAAAACTAACTCTTAATACATAACCACACAAAAATTCATGCATCTTAAATTGCATTAGTGTTATGTGATTACATGGATTAGAATCAGAATTACAAGATACCTCATCAAATTTAAGATACCATTGCCTTGATGCTTGCTTGAGGCTGTATATAGATTTTTGAAGTTTACACACCATATTCTCCTTCCCCTTTTCAACAAATCCTGGTGGCTATATCATATAAATAGTTTCAGCTAAGTCTCCATTTAGGAAGGCTGTTTTAACATCCATTTGGTGAAGCTCCAGATTAAAGTGTGCCACTAATGCCATAATAGTCCTTAAAGAATCCTTCGAAAAAACTGGTGAGAAGGTTTCCATGTAGTCTACTCCCTCTCTTTGTGTAAACCCTTTTGCAACCAGTCGTGTCTTGTGCCTCTCAATGTTGCCATTAGAGTCTCTCTTTGTTTTAAATATCCACTTACAACCAATTGGTTTCACAGCTGCATTTGCATCAACAAGTGTTTAGGCCTAAGAATTCCACGCACCAGCCTGATCTCACAAAGAGGCCCACAAGACAAAAAAGAACAGAAGACTGGGCCTTGACTCCGGAAAGAAGCCCAAATCAAACATTAGAGGCTCACGTCTTTTTGAAAGATGGCAGAGTTTTAAGAAAAAATAAATAAATCACCAATTAAATGGTAATTCGTCACCAAGCAGGTCGATAAACTTCTAAAAAGAATTGGATTGGGCCTAGCTTCTAAAAATTCTCACCGTTGATCTCAATCTCAGAGTGCAATCCAAATTCTTTTGGAAGATCTTTTCTCAAAAAAACCCACGTGACTACCTGATTTTGAAAAAGTCAAAAATTTCAACTATCACAGGAGTTGACAGAGAGTTAATGAAGGCAGGTATAAAAAGAAGACATCTCTGAATGTTTGCAGCCAAAAGATCAAAAATCCCTTTCTATATATAGAAAAATTCTGCATCAGAGTAGGTATCATTTCCAAGGGATAAGCAGACTACATTTTCTAAAGAGATAAGTAGGGAGTAGGGAGTTGTTCATCAGGAAAATCAAACTAACCATCATGGAAGACTGCATTCTTACCAAGGGCAGTTAAAAGATTAAAGGGATTAGGTTTTCTTTCAGGAAAAGTATGGAAGTAATCACCATAAGAACTGACTATTGATAAGCTTTTTCTGCCAGAATAGATAAAATCCCTTTTTTTTTGTATTTAAAACAAAAGAACTTTCTTTTGGGAAAATTTGCCGCCCATTATTAAAAGATTAGAAGCCCCACTCCAGCATTTTTTCTATAAATATGAGAGAAGGTGAACAGATCAAGGACAAACAAAAAATCAATCAAAAATAAAAACTCAAAATGATCACTTGATCTCAAAAACCTTCAAAACACTGAAGCAACCAAAGCTCATTAAGCCACAGGAAACGAGTAAGCTATAACTCAGAATCTCTAACTACAGTTCAGTTAAGAGAAATAGTCATATAAAGCGAGACTTCTCTCGTTACAAATTCGGTTTAGCATAAGTCAAATCAAGCAAAGTCCGGATTTTTACAAATATGAAAACCTCAACAAATTTATGGAGAGTCCTGATCAAACAGAACAGGTACTACAGTGCAGTTCCAGCTCAGTAATCATCAAATCCAGCAACTTTTGCCCTTTCCAAACTGAAGAGGTTCCAATTCTGCCCTTTCAAAAATCCTTCCAGGGCTTGAAATAGATTAAAGCTCTGCCAAACTCGAATGTTAGTATCAATTTACAGCTGAAACTTTACAGTTGAAGGTGTTGATAGTCCAATCCAGCACAGACATACCCAGTCCAGCCCGGATCAGAAGCATCTATCCAGGCAGAAATTGAAGTCCAACATTCTTTTTGTCTTTTTTAAGAGTTGGTCTTTCCTTTTTGAGCTTTGTAAAAGGGAGTTCTACCTGAAAATAGTTCACTTTCTTATCATTCATTTTGGCCAGAACTACCAGTCTTATCTTGTGAAAAAATTGTGAAGTCCTCACTAGTCTGAGGCAAGAAAAGAACTTACTTGGGAGATATTTCTTATCCAAATTCACAATCGCTTGTTTAGAAATCAGTAATTTAGGGCGCAAGTTATCCATTTTTTAGAAGTCTGCTAGGGTTTTTATTGCTAGCAGTGGCACGCTCATACACAAAGAAAGTTGACTTGTTGACCACAAATGGTTTTCAAGACAATGGGGAACTTTACCCTACCATCACAGGAACAAATCCAAAACGGGTGAACAACAGGTGACCAAACTTGATTCTTTCTCTATAGATTAACATGTTCACTTTCAATTGCTTGTTTGAAATTAGAAGGGTCATCTATATCTCCAACATAGTCAACTTCTTAAAGGTAAACAACAAAACCCTTAGGAATAGCTAACTTTCTAATCCTTTGTGAACGTTGGCTTGGCTCTTGAACACTTGTTGAATATTCATTGTAGGGTACGAAGGAGGTACTGAAGCACTAGATGACCCAATGTCTGGTTGTATTGAAGGTAATGATTGATCAATAATTAAGTGGGCAATTTGTGCTTTTACAGCTTCAGGAGATGCATGGATAGCTGCAGTTTCTGTGCACAACTTTAATGGTACAGTAAACGAGACATAATCTGGAGGTATAGCTGCATCAAACTTTTCTTCTTCAAAAATAAAGCAATTTGATGAATTTTCTGCATCCAAATCCTCAAGAAATTTTGCATTATTAGTTTTGACTATTCTTGTGTGCAAATGTGGACAGTAGAATCTGAAACCTTTAGATTTGTCAGGATATCCAATTAAAAAACAACTTTGAGTCCTAGGATCTAACTTTTTCTCTATAGGATTATACAATCTAGCCTCAGCTTTGCATCCCCAAACATGAAGATGCATAAGGCTAGGTTGTCTTCCTACCCATATTTCAAATGGTGTCTTTGGAATAGCGTTACTTGGCACACGATTAAGAATGTAATTTGCAGTCTTTAAAGCTTCTCTCCATAAAAATTATGTCTCCCTGCCACTCCGTTTTGTTGAGGCGTACCAGGTGAGGTATATTGTGCCATGATTCCACATTCTTCAAGGTAATTGGCAAAAGGCCCCTTCTGTTGTCCAGCTTCAGTGCACCTGCCAAAATACTCACCACCCCTATCGAATCTCACTATTTTAACATGTTTTTCCAATTGTTTTTCAGCCTCATTTTTGAAAATTTTAAAACAATCTAAAATTGAAGATTTTTCAGAGACAAAAAATATATAGGAATATCGTGAATAGTCATCTATAAATGTAATAAGTACTGATTTTCACAAATTGTTTTAATTGGAAAAGGGCCACAAACATCTGTATGAATAATTTCTAGAAGTTGTTGACTATGTGTGGAACCTAACTTTCTTTTATTCATTAGTTTTCCCTTTATGCAATCAACGCAAGTCTGGAAATCATCAAAATCAAGTTTTGGGAGAATGTTTTCCTTCATTAAATGTTGTAATCTTTCCTTTGAGATATGCCCTAGTCTTCTATGCCAAAGCATAGAAGAATTCTCATTGATAAGCATTCTTTTATTCGAACATTCAATATTCAAACATTCATGAAAATAAGAACATTCAAATTGCCATAAATCATTGTTCAAAAAGGCTCTTCCTAGTAAACATCAAATTTTTTTTTTTTTTTTTTTTTTTTTTTTTTTCTTCTTTCTTTCAAACACTATACATTATCATTATCAATGAAAGCATAACCAGACACGACTAATTTATTTGCTGGAATTAAATTCCTTCTCATAGAAGGTATATAAAGAACATTTTTCAGTTCTAAAACAAAACTTGAAAACAAATGCAACTTGACAGTCTCTATAGACTCAACAACAACTTTCTTCCCATTTCCAACAAAAACTTTGAACTCATCCTTATTTGGTGCTCTCTTGTTTGTTAATCCCTACAAAGTATTGGTGATATGCACAGAAGAACCAGTGCCAAACCACCAAGAATTCATAGGGACAACAACAAGATTAGACTCAATGCACACACAAAAATTTGAAATACATTTCTTAATCAGCCACCTTTTGTATTTGTCATAGTCCTTCTTCATGTGGCCAGACTTTTTGCAAAAATAGCATTTGAAAATTTTAGTTTTGTTGACTTTAACACTTTGAGACCCTTTAGGTGGTGGTTGGGCAGTTTTGGCAAAAGCATTTGAAGACTTAAAAGCATGAAAGGGCTTACCATAACCTGATGCACCATTTTTCTTACCATCAGTCGAATGCACAAGGTTGACAACTTCCATTTTATCACATTTCAGCCTATCCTCCTCTTGTACACACATGGAGATCAACTTATTAAGATCCCAATTTTCCTTTTGTGTGTTGTAAGAAACTTTCAGCTGTCCAAACTTTGGTGGTAGTGAATTAAGAGCTACATGCACGAGGAAAGGGTCAGAGATGGTTACTTCCAGATCCTTGAGCTTATTGGCAATGTCAATGAGTTTCATAATGTACTCCCTGACACTACTTTCACCATCATATCTCATAGTGGTGAGGGCATTCATCAAACTTCCCGTCTCAACCTTCTTTGACTCCTTAAATTTCTCCCCAACAGCCTCTAGGAAAGCTTTTGTCTTATCGTTGCTTAGAATACCACCTCTCACTGTTTCTGTCATAGCCCTCTTCATAATGAGAAGAGACATCTTGTTAGCCTTATGCCATTTTTCATATTGCCTTCTTTGTGCATCACTACTTCCATTTGTAAGAGCTGCAGGTTAATCCTTCCGTAGAGCTAAATCCAAGTCTATGAGCCTGATGAGTCGATTTTATATTATATATTTAACCTCATTCTTAGTATATTTTGGTTAATATTTTGGAAGAATTTTGATACTTTGAATTATATTTCCAATATAAGACTTTCGAATTCCTCTGGAGCAAAACATAATCAAATGGACGAATTTTGGAGTAATTTCAGTTGGAGGACGTTCGTGAGCCACTTAGCTTGATCGTATCAAAATATCAGACTTTTCCACCAAGCGATGATTTCTTGGCGAATAAATGAAGGAGCGATGTGCAGTGCTGGAATAGTAACGTTTTGGGCTTGTATTGCGTTTTTGGAGCCCAAGATGACCTCAGATGGGTTCATGGCCTTCTGGAGAAGTGTTCGGAATATTTTTATCTTTAAAACAAGCTATCTTGGGCCAGATTTGGAGGAGATTTGAGGCCAAAACGTGGCTGACCAGATTATTGGCATATTCTCCTAATCCCATTTGGACTTTATTTCCTAGTATTATTTTATTTTAACTTAGCTTCCTTGTGGGGATTGGGCAGCTAGGTTTGAGGAGATATTTAAACTCCTTTTTCACAGAAATTTAAGACTCCCTTTTTACTTCTTTTTGGCTTTTGGAGCAATTGCTAGGGTTTTGGATTTTCGCGACTTTCAGGTGTTCTCATTATTATTCTTCTTAATGATATTTTCTTGGATTTCAATTGTGAACATGCGTAACTAACTCTCTTTTGCTAGGGTGAGGCCACGAGCCTTAGCAAGAATATGTAGTTTCTGTCCAATTTGCTTATGATTATATGCATGCAGGTTTTCGAATTATTCATCACTGGGTTAAACTATCTAAGTGTCTTGATGCTTGATCACCATTAGGATGTTTAGAAAAGTAATTTGATGCAGTTTTGGTCGGAGGTCGGTCCCTGAAATTGACGAAGGCTTCTTGTGATTAATATGTGCAAGTTCACTTCGGATGAATACCACGTCTTAAGGGTTGCATGGTTTTTCAAATGGTTTCACAGAACTTAATGAGTCATGTATGTTTAGATTTGATCTAAATACCACAAACGGATTGCATGTGTGATATACGCTCTATGTTGGGGTGTCAAAGGGTGTCTCCACGTAGGGTTTCAGCTCGTGACCGTTGACCTTGAATGTGTTGCCTTCAGCTTCATTAGTGATTTGAACTGCTCCATGAGGAAAAACTTGAGTCACCAGGTAAGGTCCAATCCAGCGAGATTTTAATTTCCCTGGAAATAACTTGTGCCTTGAACTGAATAACATAACCTTTTCCCTGGCCGAAATTCCTTCCGCAAAATTTACTGTTATGAAATGCCTTAGTTCTTTCCTTGTAGATGCGAGAACTATCATAAGCACCTTGATGAATTTCCTCTAGCTCATTTAACTGCAATTTCCGCTTTTTTCGCTTTTCCCTTGCTGAGCAACTTATCTGTATTTGAACTTGCCTGAAAGCTGGCTTGAACCATATTGTCTACCACATCAATGTGCATACATTCCTGCTGTTCAGCAGGATGTTTTGCTCCTTCAAACAAATTAAAAACCACAAATTGGTCTTGAACTCGTAAAGTTAATGTTCCAGCTTCCACATCAATTAAAGTCCTAGCTGTTGCCATAAATGGTCTTCCCAAAATAATCGGTGTTTGCATCTCTTCATCCATATCCAAAACCACAAAATCTGCAGGAAGATAGAGATTATCCACTTTAATAATGAGGTCTTTAATAATTCCCCTAGGGTAAGCAACTGAACGGTCCGCCAGTTGTAGAATAACTGATGTAGGCTTGATTTCTCCGTGTCCTAGTCTCTGAAAAACAGAAAAAAGGCATTAAATTAATACTTGCACCCAAATCAATTAAAGCACGTTTAAAATTAGAATTTCCAATTGTGCATGAAATTGTAAAACTCCCTGGGTCTTGTTTCTTTGGAGGCAGTTTATGTAATAAAACTGCGCTGCACTGTTCTGTAAGAATAACTTTTTCAAAATCCACGAGCTTCTTTTTCTTTGTGCAAACATCCTTTAAAAACTTGGGATAAGATGGAATGTTCTTAATTGCATCAATCAATGGGAGATTGATCTGAACTTTGGCCAACGTCTTCATAAAATCTGTCAACTGTTGATCTTTAACTTTGGGCTTCAACCTTTCGGGATAAGGCATTGGAGGCACATAAACACGTTCTGCAGTTTCTGCAGCAATTTTTGCACTGTTTTCAGATCTGCCCATAGACTCTGTAGAATCTGTAACAATATCAGATTCTGAAAAATTTCCTGAATCTGTTTGTGGCTGTGATGCTGCTTGCGAATTTCCAACACAAATTTCACCTCTATTGTCATAACTTTTACCCGAACGTAGAACTCGAACTGCCTTACAATCTGCGCCTCCCCTTGGATTATGTTCCGTTTGGCTAGGAAATGTACCTGGTGCTCTTTCTGAAAATTGGAATGCAATCTGCCCCATTTGTTTTTCTATGTTTTTCACTGTTGCCTATAGATTTTGGAATTCTTGACTGGTGGCATTTGCTAATTTTTCAATTGCAACCTCCCAAGCGGCCTTAGGCGCAGCAGTTTGCTGTACCTGTTGTTGAAATTGTGGCCTTGCAAGCTGATCTCTGTCCCACTTAAAATTAGGATGATCTCTCCAACCCGGGTTGTAAACATTTGAATACGGGTCATATCGTGGACGCTAAAAATTATTAAATGCATTAACTTGTTCCGCTGCAAATTCCGGATAAGCATCTTTATGCGGACAGCTCAAAAAATCATGGGTTGTCACATTGCAAATGCTACAGGCAGCTGGTAAAGGTTGCTGTACAGCAACCTGTGAACCTGGAATTCTTTGTAATAACATGTCAAATTTTGCATCAAATCTTTCAAGCTTTTTCTCCATTTTTTCAATTTGTGCCGACATATATGGAGAACCATTAGATATCTCAAAAACAGACCTTGATTGTGGCTGCTCAACTGCCCATTGCTGTGTATCTGCTGCCATTTTTTCAAATAATAAACAAGCCTCTTGTGCATTTTTATCCTTGTATGATCCTCCGCATGAAGCGTTGACAAGAGTTTTTGTTGTCATATTTAACCCTCTGAAAAATATATGCACTTGATCCGTACTGCTAATACCAGAATGTGGACATTTTCTATTCAACTCTTTAAACCGTTCCCACGCCTCATGAAACTCTTCATTTGGTTTTTGGGCAAAAGATAAAATTTGAGTTCTCATGTCGAGAGTCTTTGAAGCTGGATAATACTTGTTTAAGAATTTTTCACTGAGTTGGTTCCAAGTGCTAATGCTTCCAGATGGAAGTGTGAGGAGCCATCTCCTTGCTTGATCTTTCAATGTGTAAGGAAATAGACGAAGCTTAATAGATTCAGCTGAGAATCCTTTCACCAAAATATTCTTGCATCCCATTAAAAATTCTGCAATGTGCATGTTAGGATCATCGGTTGATAACCCATGAAATGTAGGTAGAATACTCAACATGTGATGCTTGATTTCGAATGTAGACCCTTCTTCCACTGCTGGATATGTAATGCAACCTGGTATGTTAGTGGCATGAGCTGTTAAAGAATTACCCAAAGGATCACCAGCCTCTGGAATAACAAAAGCCATTGTTTTTGTACTGTGCAGGTCCTCAGAATATAAAGACTGCAGAAAAATCCCTTGCAGTGAAGGAACCCACAGCAAATTTTGCTCCCCGCGTCTCCTCCTTAAAGATTGCTCAGGTTCTGGATCAAACGGAAACAATTGCTGAACTGCTGAATGTGTGCTAACCATGCACAGATTGTAATCTGCACTGCCTTGCTGTGATCTGCAAAAATAAATAAAAACGAAAATTTTTTCTTTTTTTTTCTTTTTTTTTGGTATGTATGTACAGCAATAATTAATGCAGAATCTGATTAGAACGAATTATTTTAAATAATCCCCGGCAACGGCGCCAATTTCTTGATAGGCTTTTTAGTACATGCGCAAACAGGGTTAAAACTCCTACAAAACTTGCAAGAATGACAAGGTTATTGTAGTATAAATGATTCTCGCAAGGTCGTTGTCCGCAGGGATTATTAAATAACTCATAGCAACCAAATTCTAATTAATTATTGCAAAAGAGAAAGTTGAGATGTTTGATTTGAAGACCTTAAATTAAAAGGAAATTTAACTAATAAAAATAAGGCAATATACAAAATTAAAGCTAAGAGCAAGAGAAACAGTTGTGTTTTTAGAAATCAAATTAAGAAAGCACTAGGGATCCGCCGTCACCTTAACAATTCTATATAGTTCCCCCAATTACTTATGACCTATATATGCATATTTGAAGGTTAGGTATTCCTAATATATGCCTACTTGGACCCCCAACATAGAGCGTATATCACACATGCAATCCGTCTGTGGTATTCAGATCAAATCTAAACATACATGACTCATTAAGTTCTGTGAAACCTTTTGAAAAACCATGCAACCCTTAAGACGTGGTATTCATCCTAAGTGAACTTGCACATATTAATCACAAGAAGCCTTCGTCAATTTCAGGGACCGACCTCCGACCAAAACTGCATCAAATTACTTTTCTAAACATCCTAATGGTGATCAAGCATCAAGACACTTAGATAGTTTAACCCAGTGATGAATAATTCGAAAACCTGCATGCATATAATCATAAGCAAATTGGACAGAAACTACATATTCTTGCTAAGGCTCGTGGCCTCACCCTAGCAAAAGAGAGTTAGTTACGCATGTTCACAATTGAAATCCAAGAAAATATCATTAAGAAGAATAAGAATGAAAACACCTGAAAGTCGCGAAAATCCAAAACCCTAGCAATTGCTCCAAAAGCCAAAAAGAAGTAAAAAGGGAGTCCTAAATTTCTGTGAAAAAGGAGTTTAAATATCTCCTCAAACCTAGCTGCCCAATCCCCACAAGGAAGCTAAGTTAAAATAAAATAATACTAGGAAATAAAGTCCAAATGGGATTAGGAGAATCCGCCAATAATCTGGTCAGCCACGTTTTGGCCTCAAATCTCCTCCAAATCTGGCCCAAGATAGCTCGTTTTAAAGATAAAAATATTCCGAACACTTCTCCAGAAGGCCATGAACCCATCCGAGGTCATCTTGGGCTCCAAAAACGCAATACAAGCCCAAAACGTTACTATTCCAGCACTGCACATCGCTCCTTCATTTATTCGCTAGGAAATCATCGCTTGGTGGAAAAGTCTGATATTTTGATACGATCAAGCTAAGTGGCTCATGAACGTCCTTCAACTGGAATTACTCCAAAATTCGTTCATTTGATTATGTTCTGCTCCAGAGGAAGTCGAAAGTCCTATATTGGAAATATAATTCAAAGTGTCAAAATTCTTCCAAAATATTAACCAAAATATACTAAGAATGAGGTTAAATATATAATATAAAATCGACTCATCAGAGCCCAAGAACAATCTCCACATCTTGCTTCCATTTCTTGTAGTTACTTCCAGTCAATGTCTCAATTGAAGAGAAATTGAAAGAGGGATTCATAACTGATGAAGCAGCCAAAACATATTATGTTAATTTACACCATCAAGAACAAAAGAATGAACTTTAGTTTTGTTCTTTATATCCCTGAGAAACTTTATGCATTATTATATTTTTCCTTTGGGCAAAAACATAGTATGCAACGAAAAATTTTCTTTATTGTACCACCAATACATAGAATACAAGGTCAATAAATAATCCTACACCTTTAGGTAGTAGAAACCATTCACAACGAAGAACTCTAAAATTGTATTACACTAATCTCAAGTTGAACCAGATAAAGAGAACAATCTCCTTAGAGAGATTTAATTTACCCGTTATAACTTAGAAGATTACAAATTATGGTCTATATATTTCAAATGAACTTTGAATTAAGATAGATTATTTAAACTATCCACTTTGGTGAACATCAAATATCTCCTCAAAACTTGGCCAATTTCTTGATTACCATATTAACAGTATGTACAGTAAAACCAAATTTTATGTTTATGTCTGATGAAAACAAAAAACATAAATTTGTTGTATAAGAATCACACACAAAAGTGTATACATCTGATTGATTATGTACATGTAAGTTTTTACCTTGTTTGCTTCTTTCTTAACCTTTGATGTTAGTGCAGCAAGAAGCAAAGTAGGAGTGGAGTAGATCTCACAATCATAAGCAATAAAAAAACAGCAGAAACATTTGAAAATTTTGACTTTCCATATGCCCAGATTGAATGGAGATGAGAAGAAAAAAGCAAAACCCTAAATGAATTCAATTTGCCTATAAAACCCATATGCCTAGATTGAAAAAAAAAAACCCAAAAATGCTCAATGTAAGGAAACATAAGGATTAGTAGGCCCCTTTTTTATATTATTTATTATTATTATTTTATTATTATTAATAACAAAATAACAAAAGGAAAAAAAAAACGTGTACTTTTGGTCTTTTATCAAAAACCTTTAACCAAAATAATAACAATAATTCAAAACAAACATACGATTGCATATTTCCTAATTCAACAATTTATTGAGCGAATTCTAAGCATATAGTAAGAGTTGTGATACCACATGTAAGCACATAGATGAATACATTTAATCCAAATAGCATACATGCAAAGAACTACACTCATCGTATGAATTGAACCATAAGAATTAAGAGTACAAGAATTAGGTCTTACCTGATGAAGCCATTGATCACAGCAAACAAGGAAGACTTCTACTCTCTGCAGCACCGAATGCTTTAACTAGTAAATAGGACTAGGTATTTTAAAACGTATATTGATGTGAGAGCAGAGACCTCCTTATATAAGAATACAATACAAATTAGATCCCTCCCATCAAGGAATGTGATTGCTCCTTTTAGTATCTTATTTAATTAATACCACTAGACACACCTTATTAGGGTTTGATTGCCCTCCTAATTGGGATACTCTATTAGTAAACTTATCAGGGCTCCCTTTTAGACTTAATCATAGTAAAATTGTGCCTTGTATATAATCAATCAAAGCCCAAATTATCTTATAGTCATGACATTATATTGTCGTCTGTCACAATGGGCTTGAGACCACTTATGGAGATGTGCATGTACCAGATAACTTCTCACTCGCTCATTGTTTATCATGAAGAAATGATGATTGAACTCTGCTAGACAGTAAGACTTGGATGTCCGCAGAAAAAATCCCAATATCGGATCCCGTTTCTTCAACTTAAATGAGGCGTTCATGTTGCCATTCAAGTGATAAAAGCAAATACTATGGAGGGCAATTTGATACTTCTTTGTTGCAAAGTGAATATTTCTTATTGAAATTTAAAAAGTGAGTACTTTTATTTATTTATTATCCCTTATGTTTAGTGAGTGTGCAGGTCAATTTTCCAAAGGCCCCATTTAGTTCATAGGAAAGGAGGGTTGAGGATGGGAAATCAATTACTTTCCCATGTTTGGTAAGTCTAGACATGGGAAATGGTTGCGTGGCACATGGAAAAGTAGGGGCAAAGTGAAGCTCCCCCACCCCGGGTTTTGTTTTCCTCCTCATGATAAGGTTTAGGAAAATGAACCAACATTAAATGCACATTTTTCATGACCATTTTGTCCAAATTAACAATTTAGAATTACAATATATTTGTTATCTAACTAAAGGAAATTGTAGAGAGAAATGAGGAGTAGAGGAAGACAATAGAAATTAGTCTCTAAAACTTCTCTATCTTCTTCTTTGTTAATCACCTATTTATAGGCTTACAATAATAGGAAGCTAACCTACAAATTATGAGTTCAAGACTACTAATTACAATACTAATAATATAGGTTATAATATATCAAAAGGAGGAGGTAATGAATGTAATGGTGGTCATCCACGTTCTAAGTATTTATAACACTCCCCCTTGGATGTCCACCATATATAAAGTATCCCTCGTTAAAAACCTTGCCAATAAAACCCAGTGGGACAAAAACTAGTCGAAGGGAAAAAGAGTGCATAACCATGTATAACTTAAAATTCTGTGTATAGAACATTGACACGCATGCGACATTGCCTCGTTAAAACCTTGTCATGAAAAATCCAGTGGGACAAAAACATGGACAAAGGAAAAAGAGTACAGTGTGTGAAGATCTTATTGATGGCACACTCCCCTTGGTGTTGACAAAATATCTTTAAACTATATTGTTGACCATCTTTCTGAATGTCATAGTTGGCACTGGTTTTGTAAATTAATCTTGCAATATTATTGGATGCTCCCCCTGAAGAATTACTCCCTTTGATGTCTTTATACTTCTTTGATGATCCAGCACAAATGATACTAATCACACATCCGTCCTTCACAAAGTGATCTTTGGTAATGCTTGTATAAAACTTGTTGTTGCAGCATCATTAGAGGATCCATGTGTGTCGTCATTCATCTAATCCTTGTTGAGGTTAGAGTACTACAAAAATATCTAGGCTATTTTCATAAGTTTTTACTGTATATAATGGCTTGAATAATTTCATATGCTCTCCAATATAAAAAACAATAAGCTCATATTTATAATGATAAGAGTATTGAAATTTTATATGGTATTATAAGTCATTCATACATATTCTTGTATGTTTTGAGAACAATTGTATATGATATTTTTCATGGGCTCTTCACGAGTCTTTAAATATTTTTCATAACTTTAAACATTTGAATATGTTGCAACGTCTTTGAATTTGAATTCAAATTTAATCGAAGTACTCACTGAGATAATTTAAATTACTGTTATTTCAAGACGATTGAGTACTTACATTGAGCTTCAGGCTCTTTCACTTCTTCTAGATTTCTTTGTGTAATTTATACATTATATGGCACATTAATTATATATCTTAGGACTTGTTCCCTTGTATTCTTAAGGAAATCGCTTTTGGCGATATGTTTCAAACACTTCAAAATCTTTATAGATTTTTCAACTCAAATTCCTTTATTAAATTAGGGGAAGTTTTTGTCAACTCTTTAGGAGTTCCAACAATATTTAAATCATCTTCATATGTATATATATACTGCAATGATGGCAAACTCATTTTCAGATTTTGGATTACTTATATATTCATTTTTATAAGAGATATTCATTAAGACAATTATACCATATTTTTCCAGAATGTTTTAATCCACCCAAGGATCATTACAAGCCATCATATTTTGAATAATTTGCTTTTGGTATTTTATTTGATCATCACAAGAATCATTAAATACATGCTTTTTTCATTTAATTTCATATAGGTATAATTGGAAAATTAAACAAACTTTGTTTTACATTCATACACGAACTAAACATGTGAAATGAAATGAAGTGTATTTCCTGATTATTTATCAAACATGCGAATTTTGTTTTTCATTTTTCATTCTTAAAAAAGGCATAGGAAATTATTTCCAATTAAATTTTTTCCCCGAATCAAACGGGGCATAGTTTTCACTTGGTTAAAACGGGTAATTTAGCGTAAATAGAAACTCAAACTCAATCGCATTGCTTTTTGTCTGAAAAAGTTTTTTTTTAAACGCATTGCTTTTTGTTCATTTTCTTCCCGATCCATCTACTTCCTTTGTGGCATTCTTTCCGGACTTTCATTTTTGTTGGTTTAATAGTTTTGGCTTTGCCTTTGTGATTTTCCTTTTGACTTCTCAAATTAAACTACATTTCATTCTTCTAACACAAACCAAAACAATTCTCGATCCCTAGATTTCAATCCAAAATTTCATCCCATGTGAGCATTCAATAGCAGATCGGCTGATTGGTATTGGACGAGGTCTCAAACTCTCACTCTGAACTTTCTCAGCACCAAAACGCAAAGCTTGTCAATGAATGAGTGCTGTTATTGAAGTGCGCCCTCCTCCTCATCTTTGGATCGGTGCTTGTGCAATCCGTACATGGCGGCTCCAAGAAATCTGGTGGGGGGACGCGGGGAGGCTGCTGAGGGATGAGGAGAGTGCAAAGGAGGACGATTGGTCCGCCGGAAAGAAGCCCAAGTCCGAGAGGTTTCCGCTGACGCGATGGGAGTTCGCGGCGGCTCTCGGCGTTTTCTTGGTCTTCTCTACCGGCCTCATCTGCGTCTACTTGACCATGCCCGCCGCCGAGTATGGTAAACTCAAGCTGCCGCGCACCATTGCCGATCTTCGCTTGCTCAAGTACGTTCCTCATTTCCATGCTCTACAATTCAACCATTATGGTTTGGGTTTCTTGTGAAGGGTTATGAGATTTTGTCTAGGGTAATTTAATAATTGTGGAAGGTTTGATTATGTGGGTAGTGGGCCGTTTTGCTGTTTTCTTGTTTTTTTATTTATTTTCTGAATGTGTATACTTGTTATTGTTATTAAGGATTTATATACAGCAAGAAAATAAGATTAGAGATGTGCGTTTGAACAAGGTACCCGTTAGGAATATGTTGTTTAACTTGCGTTGGCTCCAACGAGATTGTCAGATAACCTTGATTTGTTTTTTTCCCCTCAATGTGTTTTCCTTTGAAGATTCTGATAATCTAAAATTCAAATAGAAGTTATGAAACAAGTTACTAGTCCTTTTGCAATTGAGGGCTTCCTTTTAGCCATTGCACCAAAGAATTCTCATTTAACTCCACTACTGGAGAATCCATGGCTCGACAAATTTTAGTTTGTTGTTTCACAGGCACACTTAACAAACATTTCCTGACTTAAAGCTTTTAAGATGTGTAGGTTCCTCTTGCTGACCTTGCTAAATTATCGTAGAATGAGAATATAGGAGTTTTCTGTTTAGACAGAAATTTTACATCTGTGTCTTGCAGAAAGAATAGTTTCCTACTCATGATATCTCAATTTTGATGCCTATGCTGCTGATTGTGTTTTGTGATATTTGCCATGAACTTCCCTATTATAACCCCTAGTGTTAAAAGAAATCCATTGCTTTGCTGCAGATTGTGATCCGTGCAAGTTTTCTTTTTCTGTATGACAAGAAATAAATTTTATCATAGAAGAGGTGAGGAACATGGGACGATGAGATATCCTCCAATTAAAACAAAGGAAACAAAAGTATCAATAGACCATCAAGCATGCAGGAGTTAATTAAAAACTACACCTTCAGTAACATAGACACCCACCCCAGAATTTAGGGTAAAAAAGGGGGCGGAGGGTTTCCCTTGAAATTTTCGGAGAGGGAAGCCTAAAAAGAGTCTAAAGGGCAATTTACTCCCAAATCTCATCTAGCCCTTTTCTCCTTACTTTAAAAATCTTTGCATTTCTCCCCATTCAAACAACCCAAAGAATGACCAGGAGAATGCATCTCTAAAATGTTCACACTCCTTTATTGGGACCAAATCCAGTGATTTCAGTTTCCAATGAGTAGACGAAAACCGAAGGTAAATCAACCATTACAACCAGCCACTCCACATCCGTGAAGCCATTTGGGAATGCACCAATAAATGCTACCTATGCTCCACTTAACTTTTGCACATTGCATACCATTGAGGTAGAACACAGGTAGAACACAGGTAGAACACAGTTTTAGTCTATGCCTTCGAATCATGTCATGGTTTTCCTTTTATCTGCATATTTTTTCCAGTAATGTAGTTTCTATGGTCCCCATGTAACATCGGTTACTTTCCCTGAATGCTTTGGTCTGAATCTTTATTTTTGCTTTGATAATCTTCTCCAGAGATCATCTTGCAACATATGCAAAAGACTATCCGGCACAATTCATTCTGGGTTACTGCTCTACTTACATCTTCATGCAGACTTTTATGATTCCTGGAACAATTTTTATGTCATTGCTAGCTGGAGCTCTTTTTGGTGTCATGAGAGGCCTTCTGTTGGTTGTCTTTAATGCTACAGCTGGAGCATCATCCTGCTTCTTTTTGTCTAAGTTAATTGGCAGGCCTTTAGTTAGTTGGTTGTGGCCAGAAAAGTTGAGATTTTTTCAGGCAGAGGTACTTCTTTTTACTTCTTTGAATTTGGTCGCACTGCTATCCTTCTGCTGCTGCTTTAACCTTAATTTTGGTGCCTCCAGATTGCAAAGCGTAGGGAAAAGCTGCTGAATTACATGCTTTTCCTGAGGATAACTCCAACATTGCCGAACCTTTTTATCAACTTGGCGTCTCCAATTGTTGATATACCATTTCATGTTTTCTTTCTGGCGACTTTTATTGGTCTTATTCCAGCATCTTATATCACAGTCCGAGTAAGTTCTTTATACCAATTAAAGGATTAATTTTATTTTTGTTAAACTGGATGTAACTATTTTCATCTTACAATATTTTGGTTATTTATTGTCTCCTGTTTTGGTTCCGCATCTGTGCTTGGTGCTGACAAGAATTTTTATAATCCGTCTGTGCAATAAAAACTATTGAATAGTGCCCATTGCTTAGATTAGTTGTGGCCAGAATTTTGCTTCATTGTTTTGTTATGTTTTTGGAGGTTTTGGATTTTGAGGCATCGTTTAGTATGCCACATGTTGATTATTGCTGGTCTGTTTAACAATGTTAGAAATTTAAGAAAAAAAGGTCGCAAGAGAACTACCAGATAAATTTTTGTCATGATTGAATTATTGATTAAATAATTGATGTCCTTGCTCCTTCCTCGTGTGCCCCTTTGGATCTATGGGATTGAAATATTGAAAATTGGAAGACTAAGTGTAATTGGTAGTGGCGGATCTAGTAATTTTCCTTTGGGACAAACAAACAATACTACCAAATGACTAATAGTGAAGATATAAACATATCTGTGCACAGATTAGATATAAGCTCTACACCTTTCTACCTAATTTCTCTATTGCAAGGCATAAAGAGAAGAATGGGAATGGTTAGTGGAGAGAACAAGAAGAAAACAAGAATAAAGGAGTAGAGCAGTTGCCCAAGCCGAACTGCAGCCCAAGTCAGCCCTTCCTTTGCTCCATTGCCCCGGCTTAGCCTTCTTTGAGGCATTTTATCAAACAGTTTTCTCCCATCCAACACAAAATGTCATGAAAACTAGGCACCTTCATAGGTGTAGAACAGGACTGAGGGGAGGCAAGTGCCTTCACTGACTCCTTAATAGATCCACCCCTGACTGGAAATGAGATTGTAACCTTTAAAAAAAAGTAGTCTTTCTTTTATGGATGTAACACACATTAAAGCTGATCTGGGTCATCTGATCGTAGTGTAGGTTTTATATTCTGTCAAAAATCTGAAGGAGGTTAGCAAAGTCATTTGAATAATTGATGGCTGATCATTATGTGGTGCTGTCCCTATCCGTCATAAAAATTTGATGGACTAAATGTTTTGTTTTTGTTGTTGATTAGATGTTTGATTTCATCATTTAACTTGTATACCGTGCTTTCTGGCCACTTTGTTTGATGCACTCACTCAATAGAAAAATATTGCTTTGCTGCCTGTAGAGAGGGTATCAGAATTGTTGGAAATTTGGAGGTTTTTATTTCTGGTCCACATTTAAAAACTTAAGATATACATAACTGGAGCAACTGATGCCATTGTAAAAAGTTTAGTTGGCATTTCTTCATTTTTCTTTTTCTAAAGACTTAATTTTTCAATGACATTTCATCTCACATTCTCACAAGTTCATTTCTTCTCTTTAATGTATGGTTTACACCAAACGGCTTTGACCATATGAAATTTGCTTTTCAAGTTTAATATATGAGTTTTCTCCTAGGTAACTGACAGCTGCTGAATTTTTTTTTAGGCTGGCCTTGCTCTTGGGGAACTCAAGTCAGTCAAGGATCTCTATGATTTTAAAACCTTGGTTGTGCTTTTCCTTATTGGTTCTGTGATTATATTTCCAACCCTTTTGAAGAGGAAGCGAATTTATGAATGAACGTTCTGGTAGTGAGAATGCCATTCCATGCTTCTATCTGAAAGGCGGGTGTGTAGACTTAAGATTAATAGCTAAATGTTACAACAATGGCGAAGTTTAATTTTCCAGTATCCAGAAGGGAGTACGTTTTTTTCAATATACGCTCCACAAAAGCATTCTTTACTAGGTAATGTATTACGGAGTTCAAATGGTGTTTGGAAAGATACTGTGCAGAATATTTATGAATTTATCATTGCTTTAGGCTCATGTAACCTTGATAGTCCTTGTAACATGTTTTACAATTACATATGGCGAAGTTTATAATAACGAAGTATGCAGAAAGCTGTTGTCGAGCTATAATGTACTGCTTTTTGTTCGGATGCAGTTGCCGTTTTTATTTTGTTACATCGAAATATTTGTTTGTAGTTTATAGTTAACCAGATAGGGCCACTGGAAGTTTGAAAACTGTTGCTAAACACATTTGTAAATGAGTTCAAAGGGGGAATTGGCTGACTTATTTATGGATAGAGCACAGGACAAATTTTTTCGTGTCCTTGCTGGGATTGGTTTGGATGTTTGTCTGATTCTGTCGCGGGGGTGGGGGGGAAGGGGGGGATCTGAAACATGTGGCCTGAACATGATTCCTTCAGAAAATAAGTTGTCTCAAGTAACGGTAAATAGTTGTGAATCCATTCAAGGCTGGGAAGGATATAAGTTTTTTTGAAGAATTACAGGAGAACAGAAGAGTGGCAGAGAGTTTGGGATGCACAATAGGCAAAGAAGAAAGTGGAGGGAAAGATAAACGTGTTGTATTCATTGGAGGAATGGGAGAAGGAAGAAGGGAGAGGGGATAAGATTAAGCATACAATTTGAAGAACTAGTTTTTAAGGAAGAGATCACGTGGAGGTAAAAGGAAAAAGTGGCTTTGGACAAAAGAGGGTGCTGGAAATACTATACTGTTTTGAAATGTGGTTGTAAATGAGAGAAATAAGGCACATTGGTTAGAAAGGTTGGAAACAGCTACGTGGTTGGAAACGCAGAGTTTGAAGGAGGGTAGTTTTCGAATGTTACAAAGAAACATAACCGGTCCCGATGGTTAGGGGCTGTTTGGTATTGTGTTTGAATCCAATTTTTTAAACACAAAAACATAATTGAAGTCTAAAGCCCTCTAGCCTTGTTTCAAATTGTTGGAGTCTCGGGCACAAACAAATCATTATCAGCTAGAGATCAAAGCAGCAACATGAAGGAAAGAAGAAGCTCCTGACTTTTGGAGCTTAACCGTTAACCCAAATCGGTTAAGTTGCGCCTCTATTTAAACCTAGTTTTCTGACAAGTACACCTATCCTTTTAATGGTGACTAGTTTTGGATTGAATACTCGATATAGTCAAAGCATGTTTAAGGTAAAAATGAAATTTTTTTGTTTTTGTTTGTTTTATCAAGTTGAAAGTAGAAGATGGATTACTCATGAAGAAAACTTATCCTATCTAATCTCGACAAAATGGTAGGATAACGACACCTTATTACTAATCCCTCCTAATCCCCAAACTTGGAAAGTCATTCACCTCTACCTTCATTTCATCCTTCAATATACCTTAGATTTAGTGACTTATCCAATTCAATCTAATCCTAAGCACCAAACTCTCTAAGCCGTAAGTCTAAAATGAAGATTTTTGTACATTAAAGTAATCTCTTACAAATAACTTTAGGGCATATTTACGTATCAGTAATGGAGAAAGTAAGGAATCAGAGAATTTAGGAATCGGGGAAGTATTGAATCAGTATGAAAAGAATCATTCCCATTAAACTGGTTACTAAACATATGGAATTAGCGAAGGAATGAGGTTGATTCCCATTGTTATTGTTTACTAATTTTCATAAATCAGAATCCAAATTAATTTGATTACTAAAATGCCCTGCACATTTTCACCACAACACATGTATAATTTTCAAATTGGCTAAGGAGACCAAACTAATCCTGCAGCAAACTAGTAAGGCAGTGTAAACATGAGGAATCAATATGCTGAACAAGATGAACAACAAGATCCCAGTTCAATGATAATGTTAATAACACCTTTGTCCAGAGCTAATTTCAAACGAAAAAATAAACTCCAATAACACCTTGGAGTGTCTTTGAACTTCTTCTTGGTGTGAGTTTTTATTTTTTTAGGTTTTGGGGTGTTTTGGAATTAAGGTAAAGTGGTAAGGGTATTTTTGGAAGTTAATAAGAGAAAACAGGAATGAGAATCATATCGACTACCCCCTCTTAGTTGATCTAATACCTAGTTTTGAGAGTATGTGATTACGGATTTTGAGGTCTCCCACTTATTTTTTCATTACTAATTGCAAGTAAACGCAGGGGAAGTCAAGAATGGAAATCATTCCCTTTCCTCTCATACCTATTACTGATATGTAAACATGCCCTTAGTGTTTTTAGGATTGAGTTAATAGCTTATGGTGCCCCAACCTTGGGAGCTAAATTGAAGAAAAAAGAAAACAATCAATACCACCACCAGCACCCCCAAGCCCAAAAAAAAAAAAAAAAAAAAAAAAAAAAAAAAAAAAAAAACAAAGGAACTAGAATGGAAAATAAAAAAGATTGCAAAAGCCATCATATGTAGAAAAAGCAAATTTGCCAAAATTTTTAAAGAAATTAATCATGAATGATATAAAATGGCAGAAATAATAGGGTTTTAAATTTGAAGGTATTTGTGTTTATTTAAGTGAGTTTTTTTCTATATTTGAAATTTTTTATAAAAATTGACATTTTTGAAATTAGAGGTCAAGTTTTGGCTATTTTTGATAAATTCTCAAAGGATATAGACCATTAGATGAAAAATGAGTTGTTGTGGGCTAATCTACACCATTGATAGGGGTAACCAGAATACCTGTTATTGGGGTTTAATAAAAATTTAAAAAAATTTAAAAAATAAAAACAAGAGTGTTCATGAGCTCACGTCATCAAATTTTTTTAAACTATTTGATTATCTACAGTTATGTTTCTCCTCTCCACATGGCATCCATTCGAATCATAGACTGAAGATATGGTGTCGATTGTTATCAAAAACAAAAGATATGGTGTCGATGAGGTGTTGACATCATTGTTAGATGTGTTTACACCATAATCAACCGAGCATATCTGGCATCAAAATGATTGGCACTAAGGCATACACGCCTTCTCCCCTGCTGAAATACCTTAAAGGGACACACAGACAAATCCTTAGAAAGTGATTAACGTCATCACCTTCCGACATGCCAAAGGTAGGCATTTTTCCGAAGCGGCAGTATCCTGCCGAAGCTCCCCGACTACCGAACATAATTCCAGGGACACGTGTCACTACCACAGCAACTTGCACAAAGTCCCACATCGAAACTTTGCGCAAGACTCCAATTTTCACCTCCCTATAAATAGGGAATAGTGCCCAAGTAAAAAGGGTAACTATTTTCTCACATTAAAGGTTAACTTAAGCATCGGAGAGCCTTCGGCAAGCACCACACCAGTGTTCAAAGCTTCACAACTGCTTCTTCCTCCTTATCTTCTGCAGGTTCTTCCAACCCCGAAGGTCCTCACCTTCTTCCCTGCTGAAGATCTTACATTTCTCTAAGTTGACCCTTCTAAAACGAGCATTAACAGTTTGGCACCGTATGTGGGAATCGACTTCTGAATCCCATTTCCCTCTACCAGCCCCGCTGGCTCCCTCCCCCATCAAGCCCCGTCGCCTATTCTACTTCCCACTCTCTGCCATGCCGAGCAAGACCAGCCACGATACCCAGAACCACACCCCCCGTGAGGATTCCTCCAGAAAGAAGCCTTTGGTTGAGGGGAATCTCCAAGAGGAGGTGGAGCGCCTTCGTGCCAGTATGGCCAAGATGACGGAGAACTACGACCATCTTCGTACCAAGAATGTCGAGATGGAGCATGATTGTAGCGCTGTTGATTCAATTCCTAACAACTAAAATGAGTTATTAAAAACAGCAACTTTAATTCTCGCAAGTGCACAAACCGTTTATAGTATAGCTTATGTAAAACAAGGTCGATCCCATGGAGAATGGTAACTTGGTTCCAAGTTAAATTACTTAGAATGCTTGAATAATATAGAACAAAGAAACTGACTAACTAGCTAAAGGCAAGGTCGAATTCAACAATGCCTCTCGCTAATTACTCAAGGTCTAGGACAGAATCCTAGCACCACACACGCACTCGAAATGGGGGGTTTTTGTTGTTGAAATGAAAAGAAGAAAGTGAAATGAAAGTGCTCGAAAGTAAGCACTGGACAGATTGTGAAACAATAATTGAGAGGTCTTAGAGCCTTGGAATCCACCACTAGTTTTTCTATCCAAGTTATGAATGCATAGAAATTGACTCAAGCTTCATCAACAACAGATTATCACATACAAGCCTATGGTATCTAGGTGCAGGATGCATGATTCTCCTAAGGCATGTAATTGTGCATGGTATCTACACAACACGTCATCTCTAATATGCAACCTAAACATGGTATCTACTTAGAATAAAGCATATAAGAGTCATTAAGCTCATTGAGAATATGATAATCACACAAGTCCTAGAACATGGTATCTGTCCTAGTCAACCTATGGTTATTAACCCCTTGAATGATTCTTAGGCCATTCATGTGTTGCTTTTGAAAGGAGAGTAGAATTGGTGAATCTAAACCCCTTCCCAACCTGTGCTAGATGCATAAAATCCTAGTTAGTTACTCTAAGAAAACATACATCAAGCACATAATAAACTGGAGATTAACAACTTGATAATGAAAGCAAGGAAATCAATTAACTATAAAATCATCCATAACATTGAATATTCATGACTAGGGCTTCATCCTAAGCCCTAACTAAATGGATTAGTTAGACATAACTATGAATACAGAAAATAAGAAATACATAGATAGGATAAAGAGAGGAGAAGAACTAGATGATGGCAGCAAGGAATTCCCAGGACAGCTCCAAGCTCTCTTCTCTCTTTGTGGTGAATCTGAATTTGTGTATGAGAGTAATGGGTGAAGTGAAAATGTGTATCTGACTCTCTATATCTTTGAATGATTGTGCAGCCCTCTATTTATAGAGTGCAATTTCGTCCTCCCCTTTGGCTGGTGAAGCACACCTCTCTTAGCTGCTCCCAACAACTCCAACAGCCCATACTTGCCACCTGCTCCAGATGCCCATACTTGCCACCTGCTCCAGCTGCCAAATACATGCTTTGGTATGGTTTTTTAATGGAAAACTTGACTTTTGTTCATCCTTCTAAGTTTCTGAGCTGATTTGACTCCCATGTGTGGCTGCCCATACTTAGCACATGGCTCTAGGGATGTAGACACATTTAAATGTGATGGCAGCCAACCTGACATTTCTGTGAACTTGGTTAAGTCTTTGACATGCTGAGGGCTCCAGATTTATCCAATTGGGCTGCAATTTGGATATGTGATAATAGACACCCATTGGAACAACTTCTAACAAGGATGTCTCCTCATCCGACCTGTGTAAGTTGCTGAAATGAGGACTGCAAGATGACCCATGAAACTGGACTGACAAGGAGTGTGGCCCAAATTGGGTTTATCTTTAAACTCATATTCCTCTTATCCCAATCAGCCCTTAACAAGCATGGATTGCATCAAATGTGATCTCTTGCTGTCATAACCTACAAAACAAACAAAAAGAGGTAAGTGACTCAAAATAAAGAGAAACTAAGCAAAGTCACTAAGTAAAGAAGTCATGCGAATGTATGAAATTATGAACTTATCAAATACTCCCAAACTTAGATTTTGCTAGTCCTTGAGCAAAACAAAGGAAAATTACAACTTAGGAAACAGGAAATACGCAACTAGCCTTCGGAACAATATCCTCAAAGAATCACCAACGTATATGGTTCCAAAGAAACATAAAAATCACAATCTAAGTTCCATACATGATTCACGAGAAAGCAAAGCTCACAATGGCATCCTTAAGTGTAGTGTGTGAATGCCAAATCAGAACAACACCTACAACTCAAATAAGTACATGCGCACACACTTAGAGCAAAATCAAAAATTCCGAACCCCATAAGCTCATTATCCAATCTGCTCTCCACATAATACCATGCAACACCAAGGATCAAAAGGACTTTACAAGGGTAGTAATGAGGTTTAGGGTAGTGGTTGAATGAAAGAAGGGATATGAGATATACAATATTTTAAGCACAATTAAAGCATAGGTAAGAGCATAAGAGATTACTGAACTTTGTAACAAGCAAGGAACACATATATGAGCAGATTTTCAACATAATTTCAGCAGCTTCATATCTGTTTATTTGGCCTAATTTTGTGGCTCTTTACCCTAGATCACCATGATCTTCTCTTTTATAACACCCTAGGGCCGTGACTACATTGGTCACACTTCATTACCTCTTTTGATGAGTTACCAATACCCCCAAACTATTTCTTTTCAACACTTGGGTTATGGCACTAATGATTCACTTTTGCTACAAAAACCTTGCATTCTTCTTTATAACTCTCTTTTGAAGATAGCTTTAATTACTCATAGAATAAGTAAGAATAAGAAAATAGAGGTTCATTATGGTAGGAATGGTTTACAAAAAGAAAGGCTTAACGTAGGCTCAAATGGGTTGACTAGGGATGAATACATGTAGAGGGATGGTTAGAAAGGCTCAAACGGTTCAAACATGGCCTAAATCACTTCCTAAGCATTGTATGGCAACAAAATGTCTCAAGAGATATTCAAATAAGTTCTAGAGTACGAAACCAAGATCATGAGATAAGTAGAATTGCATAACGTCTCCAAGTAGCAAGAAATTGGACTAACTTGGCAAAGTGCTCAATAAATGCAAGGATGTCATGCAAGATAGAGTTAACTCAGAACCACAGAAAGTCCTTAAACAATGACTATCAATTTCTGAGAAACCATATTAGTATTAGATCCAAGTCTTATCATAGGTGTTTGGAAGGATAACGAAATAGCACACAAAATCCTGCGTTTTTGGCCATTAGACACACTCAAAATTTTAAAATTTGACAATTTGAAACAACATAACTAAATCCTTCCCCCCAAACTTAAATGAAACATTGTCCTCAATGTTTAGAGTGTAAGAAAAAGCAATGCCTCGTAAATGAAAGGAAAGAAGATAAGGGAAAGACATAACCAAAGGATAGAGTTCAGAAAAACTCCCCTTTGAAGCAATTAGGACACAAGCAGGCTTCCTTGCATGTTCTGTCTTCTCCTCGTCACCTTGGGTTGCCTCCCAAGTAGCGCTCAGTTTTATCTCTTCAGCCGGACGTCCAAACTCTGGTGAGCATCAAGAGAGTGGTGGAGGCTCCTTGAGTGCTTGAGACTCAATATTGGCATCAAATTTGGCATCAAAGTAAGGTTTCAACCGATGTCCGTTCGCCTTGAAGGTGCTGCCATCCTTAATATTTTGAATCTCCATTGCGCCATGATCAAACACATTAGTAATAACAAAAGGGCCAATCCACCGAGAACGAAGCTTACCTGGGAAGAGCTTAAGGCGTGAATTAAATAGGAGAACCTTCTGCCCTTTCTCAAATGTCTTCCTAAGAATTTTCTTGTCATGATATTGCTTTGTTTTCTCCTTGTAAAGCTTAGCGTTCTCATACGCTTCATGTCGCAACTCCTCCAACTCATTGAGTTGAAGCCTCCTCTTCTCACCAGCAGCTTTCATGTCAAAATTGAAGGCCTTGATTGCCCAATAAGCCCTGTGCTCAAGCTCCACTGGTAAGTGACAAGGTTTACCGAAAATAAGCCTATACGGAGACATACCTATAAGGGTCTTATAAGCAGTCCTATAAGCCCACAGTGCATCATCCAAATGCATGGACCAATCCTTCCTTGTGGTGTTCACTGTCTTTTCAAGTATGTGCTTAATCTCCCTATTGCTTATCTCAACCTGCCCACTAGTTTGAGGATGATAGGGTGTTGCCACCTTATGCGTGATTCCATATTTCTTCAAGAGTGCTGCAAAAGCTTGGTTAACAAGGTGGGAGCCACCATAACTAATGATTGCTCTAGGTGTGCCAAACCTTGTAAAAATATTTCCTTTGAGAAAACCAATCACAACCTTAACATCATTAGTTTTAGTGGCAATGGCTTCCACCCATTTAGAAACATAATCGACAGCAACTAATATATATTCAAATCCATAAGAGGTAGGAAAAGGGCCCATGAAATCAATTCCCCAAACATCAAATATATCAATGATTAGGATATTGGTAAGAGGCATATGATTTCTAGCATGTAAATTACCCATCCGTTGGCATCTATCACATGAAGTACAAAAAACATAGGCATCCTTAAAAAGGGTAGGCCAAAAGAAACCTGATTGTAGCACTTTGCTGGCAGTCTTCTTTGCTCCAAAATGGCCTCCGCATGCGTGGGAGTGACAAAACTCTAGAATGCTCTTAAAATCACCTTCAGGCATACACCTTCGAATTACTTGGTCTGGGCAATGCTTGAATAGATATGGATCATCCCAAAAGTAGTATCTTGCTTGCTTCTTAAGCTTGTCACGTTGGAACGTAGATAACCCTGTAGGGAGTTCATTAGTGCACAAATAGTTAACAATATCAGCAAACCAAGGCAATGGATTGAGAGAATTCAAAGCATAAATGGAGAAGAGTTGCTCATCAGGGAAGCTTTCATGCAATGGCAATGAATCCTCCTCTTCACTAGATACATGCACCAATCTACTCAAGTGATCAGCCACGACATTCTCACTTCCTTTCTTATCTTTTATCTCCAGGTCAAACTCTTGCAATAAGAGAATCCATCTAATGAGTCGTGGCTTGGCATCCTTCTTGGCTAACAAGTATTTAATTGCTACATGATTAGTGTAAACAATAACCTTGTTAGTAATCAAATATTATCTGAACTTCTCTAAAGCAAATATGACAGCTAATAACTCCTTCTCTGTGTTGGAATAGTTGAGTTGGGCATCATTAAGGGTTCTACTAGCATAGTAAATGGCATGTGGCTTCTTATCAACTCGCTGTCCCAAAACAGCTCTAACGGCATAATCAGAGGCGTCACACATCAATTCAAAAGGCAAGCTCCAATCCGGTGGTATAATGATTGGGGTAGTTGTGAGCATCTTCTTCAAAGCATTGAAAGCATTCTCACAGTTTTGATCAAAGACAAAATCCATGTCCTTGGCAAGGAGATTGCACAAAGGCCTCGCAATCTTAGAAAATTCCTTAATGAAACGCCTATAGAAACCTGCATGGCCAAGGAAAGAACGTACTTCTTTGACAGAAGTAGGTGAGGGCATGGAGGCAATCAAATCAATCTTAACTTTATCTACCTCGATTCCTTTACTAGAGATGACATGACCAAGAACTATGCCTTGGTTAACCATAAAATGACATTTTTCCCAATTAAGCACAAGGTTAGTCTGTTCACATCTAGCCAACACCTTGGATAAGTTATGCAAGAATTGATCAAAAGAATCACCAAAGACAGAGAAGTCATCCATGAATACCTCAATGAACCTTTCTATCATGTCGGAGAAAATGCTCAGCATGCACCTTTGAAAAGTGGCTGGGGCGTTACAGAGACCAAAAGGTATTCTCCTATAAGCGAAAGTGCCAAAGGGACATGTGAAGGTCGTCTTCTCTTGATCCTCTGGGGCTATGGCGATTTGGTTGTAGCCTGAATATCCATCAAGGAAGCAATAGTGGCTATGGCCAGCCAATCTCTCAAGCATCTGATCAATGAATGGAAGAGGGAAGTGATCCTTGCTTGTTGCTGTGTTGAGCTTCCTATAATCAATGCAAACTCTCCAGCCCGTGGTCACCCGTGTAGGTACAAGCTCCTTTGCTTCATTCTTCACCACTGTGATACCTGACTTCTTGGGGACAACTTGCACTGGGCTCACCCATTTACTATCAGATATAGGGTAAATAATACCAACATCTAAAAGCTTCATTACCTCTTTCCTTACCACCTCCTTCATGTTTGGATTGAGACGTCTTTGGGCATCCCTCTTAGGCATTGCGTTGTCTTCCAATAATATCTTGTGCATGCATAGTGTTGGACTTATGCCTTTGATATCTGCAATGCTCCACCCAATTGCAGTTTTGTGCTCTTTTAGAACTCTCAAAAGCTTCTTCTCATCATTTGGCTCGAGGTGTGAGGCAATGATAATAGGTAGAGTCTCATTTTCACCTAAATAAGCATATTTAAGGTGTTTTGGCAATTACTTTAATTCCAACTCTGGTGCCTGCACAATAGAAGGTAAAACCTTATTAGTAGGTGGGGGTAATGATTCAAATTGGTTTGCATACCTCTTTCCAACTTCTATGTAGCTATCCATGCTGCAAACAAGCTCAAAAAGTAAAGGAGAGATCATAGCCTCTAAGTTGTCCACTTCTTCTTTCCTTATGCTTTGTGTGATGCATGCTTCAATGGGCTCCAAATAACTCATTGGCAGTGCTTCTTTCACCATAGTATCAATTGCATAAAGCTGGAAAACTTCATGCTCATCACTTGGAAACTTGGAGGCTTCAAACACTTTGAATGCTATTGTCTCATCAAACAAGTTCATGGTCAATGTACCCTTCTTCACATCAATAATAGCACCGGCAGTTGCCATGAATGGCTGACCTAGAATGAGTGGTAACTGATTGTCATGAATTGGTGCTTCTTCCATTTCCAACACCAAGAAATCTGCTGGCAAAATTAGCTCTTCCACTTTCACCAAAACATCTTCTAGAATGCCCTTAGGGTACCTAATAGTTCTATCTGCCAATTGAATGCTCACAGATGTGGCTTGCAACTCACCAAGGTTAAGTTTCTCATAAACATGATATGGCATAAGGTTTATAGAAGCACCAAGATCAAGCAAAGCTTTTTGAAACTTAAAATCACCAACTATGCAAGGTATAGAAAACGAACCTGGATCCTTTAGCTTTGGAGGTAGCTTTCTTTGTAACACTGCACTTACCTCTTCACTCAATGCAACTTGTTCATGCTCTTTGAATCTCCTCTTGTTAGTGCATAGATCCTTCAAAATTTTTGCATACTTTGGAATCTGAGCAATGGCATTGAGCAATGGGATGTTGATTTGCACCTTCTTGAATGTTTCCATTATCTCATCCAAGCCTTGATCTTTCTTTGACTTTGATAACCTGCTGGGAAAGGGTGCAATAGGCCTAAAAGCATTAGTTGAAATTGGAACTTGATTAGCATTAGATGATACCTTAGGGTTTGTGCTCTTTCCAAAAGGATTGAGGGACTGTTTGTTGGAAGCTGTGAGCTGCCCATGTGGTGGCTGAATGATCTCCACGTTTTCTCCATCTTCTTGCTCTCCGTTGACATCTCCAACCTTGTTATCAACTTGTTTACCACTTCTCAAGATGTGTACTGCTTTAGCATGCTCTTGATGCCTTGGATTCACCTAGAGGGCCAATCACTGCCTGTTGAAGCAAATAACAGATAACATCAAGTTTTACAGCAATCTCATTATTAGTACTTACCTCAAAGACCACAGCTTTCATAGGAGCTCCTCTTCCTTTATTGTGGCTCCATTGTTGAGAGTTAGCACTCAAGGATTCAAAGAGAGTAAAAGCCTCATCTGCTGTTTTGTTCATCAGTCCTTCTCCACTTGTTGCATCTACCATCATCCTTTCGAAATCAAGCAAACCTTCATAGAAAGATTGCATTTGCATCCAACTCTCTATGTTGTGGTGTGGGCAAGAACTTATCATCTCCTTGTACCTCTCCCAACATTCATGAAAAGCTTCTCCTTCCTTTTGTGTGAAACCAAGGATTTCCTTTCTAATCTTGTTAGTCTTCTGAGCCGGAAAGAATTTCTACAAAAACTTATTAGAAAGCTCTTCCCAAGTATGAATTGAAGCATTAAGCAAAGAGTATAACCAAGACTTAGCCTTATCTTTTAAACTGAATGAGAATAGCCTCATCTTAATCTGCTCATCATCAAGGCCATGAATTTTGATCGTAGCACATATTTCAAAGAATTGCTTAATATGCATGTAAGGATCCTCAGTGGTATTACCATAATAAGTTGGAAGAAGATGAATCATACCACTTTTAAGCTCAAACCTGTCAACTGTGAGTTGAGGATAGAGATGCACGAAGGTTGATCGGTGACTTTGGGAATGGAAAACTCACGCAGGGGTTTTCGAGGTTGGACAACAAGCGCACCATCTCCTTCAACATTATTGTTGTTGTTCGGAATCTCTGCCATCCTACTTGAACCTTCATATTCGGAACTTTTAGAATCAGCGCTTGAAGAATTATAATTCCTCCTCAAACCAGCACGTACAGCAGCGGTTCTTGGTGAAAGTGGCTCAGGTGAACTTTGCTCCTGGTTAGATTCGGACATGCACACACCAAGGAACTCAATTCAGTGCTTTCAATGGAGATAACAACTAAATACAAAAACTGAATATTAAAAGAAAAACCAACGAAAACAAACAAATGAAACAAACAAAAACAAAACAATCAAAGTAATCTAACTATAGCACCAACGTTACCGATTCCCCGACAACGGCACCAAAAACTTGTTGATTCAATTCCTAACAACTAAAATGAGTTATTAAAAATAGCAACTTTAATTCTCGCAAGTGCACGAACCTTTTATAATATAGCTTATGTAAATACGAGGTCGATCCCACGGAGAATGGTAACTTGGTTCCAAGTTAAATTACTTAGAATGCTTGAAAAATATAGAACAAAGAAACTGACTAACTAGCTAAAGGCAAGGTTGAATTCAACAATGCCTCTCGCTAATTACTCAAGGTCTAGGACAGAATCCTAGCACCACACACGCACTCGAAATGGGGGGTTTTTGTTGTTGAAATGAAAAGAAGAAAGTGAAATGAAAGTGCTCGAAAGTAAACACTGGACAGATTGTGAAACAATAATTGAGAGGTGTTAGAGCCTTGGAATCCACCACTAGTTTTCCTATCCAAGTTATGAATGCATAGAAATTGACTCAAGCTTCATCAACAACAGATTATCGCATACAAGCCTATGGTATCTAGGTGCAGGACGCATGATTCTCCTAAGGCATGTAATTGTGCATGGTATCTACACAACACGTGATCTCTAATATGCAACCTAAGCATGGTATCTACTTAGAATAAAGCATACAAGAGTCATTAAGCTCCTTGAGAATATGATAATCACACAAGTCCTAGAACATGGTATCTGTCCTAGTCAACCTATGGTTATTAACCCCTTGAATGATTCTTAGGCCATTCATGTGTTGCTTGTGAAAGGAGAGTAGAATTGGTGAATCTAAACCCCTTTCCAACCTGTGCTAGATGCATAAAATCCTAGTTAGCTACTCTAAGAAAACATACATCAAGCACATAATAAACTGGAGATTAACAACTTGATAATGAAAGCAAGGAAATCAATTAACTATAAAATCATCCATAACATTGAATATTCATGACTAGGGCTTCATCCTAAGCCCTAACTAAATGGATTAGTTAGACATAACTATGAATACAGAAAATAAGAAATACATAGATAGGATAAAGAGAGGAGAAGAACTAGATGATGGCAGCAAGGAATTCCCAGGACAGCTCCAAGCTCTCTTCTCTCTTTGTGGTGAATCTGAATTTGTGTATGAGAGTAATGGGTGAAGTGAAAATGTGTATCTGACTCCCTATATCTTTGAATGAGTGTGTAGCCCTCTATTTATAGAGTGCAATTTCGTCCTCCCCTTTTGACAAGACCCGCCCCGAATTTCCTCGAAATCCGGGACGGACACCGCCTAATTACCGACATCAACCTAATGCCGGGCCCACTTAGTAAAGACTGAGACTTTCTACCAAAAATTTGGCAGAGTCTCCCCTGTAAATTGAACATTCCCAAACTTCAACCTGTTCAAAATTTACAGTTAATTACAACCAACTGGCAGCATGCTTTACAAGCAACAAAACATTTTACAACAAAGGCCTCCGGCCTCACAAAATTAAACCCTCAGTGGGCGATACAGAGCATAACTAAGGAATTCAAAATACAACCGAAGTACCGTTTAACTGAAAGGAAAAACAAAGCACCAAGAGTCTTTACGAAGACTCGAGTTCCAAGATGCACCCGGTCCGGCTCAACTGCAAAGCTCAGTCGCTACTGGCTGGGGGCGCAAAATAGAAAGTTGTGAGTGGACAAAAATCAAGTTCAGTTCAAAAGAAATCAAAGTAGTATAACCCCCACCTTTATAAAAAACATACAATGAAACCATAAGCATAACAACCATCAGAAAAAGGTATATAAACATACACGAACATATATATACCGGATCTCAAATCCGTAATCCGTGAATAATGCTTCACGAAACCCACCACTCAACTTAAGAGTCCCGAGAGATTAGACTCTCGTAAACGTACTCAAAAGTACGACCGGCGAGGAAGTATCCTTACCGAAAAATAGAACGAAGGAACATTCATATAAATAAATATATATCATATACATACATAATAATAATAATATGAGATAACATAATCATAATAATAATAATAATAATAGTATATAAAGATAACCAATATTTAATTGTACCGGGGAAACAATCCAACAGGGGGACTGTTTGACTAGGCCACATGGCAGAGCCATTCCTCAATTCACCATGTGTCTAGGGAGCGAGCCGTCCAACCGGGGGACTAACTCTCAGCCAGCACATACAGCCGACACAGTCAAAGCTTGTACGCCTGAAATACCAGTCCTACGCGCGCAGACTACCCCAAATCCAGGGTCCACAGCAACATCCCCTCAAGGATGCCCTGAGTTCTCATCGTAACCAAATTCAGATCAGGGGAGGTACATAAATTTGTGCTTAACGCACTCCAAATAATAGATCCAACATTACCTTTCCATCGTTCATATTAACCACCAAGTACCCCATGCATAGCCGCATGTAAATATAGCTTCTCAAAATTCAAATATCAATGTAAGTTTTATGAAAACCTCGAATTCCCATTCAAGCATATAAAAATAATTACTAGACATAATAAAACGATATGCCATATTTCTATGAATAAAATCATACTGAGTTTCAAAAGAAAAGTCCACTCACAAGTAGTCCCACACAGCTTGACCCTTAGAGGGTCCCGCCTGCTGCGTATGCTGGGTCGGAGTACCTGATTCAGAATACGAAAATGCGATGAATATCAAGCACTTCAAAACAGAACTTTGAAATAAAACCCTAGCTTCCCAGGAGTTCCTATAGGTTTTACGAGGGCTAGGATACACGTCCTGTAAGTTTGGTCCGAAACGGACGGTTAGACCGCTCACGATCGCACAATTGGACGGTTACTGAAACCCTCACCCTAGGGTTGGCATTTCCGGAGTATCCGGGACTCCGTTTTACGATCCGTCGAATCCTACACGATCTTACAGTTATCCAGAGGAATATACTTCAATTTGAAAACGATCCAACGGTCAGAACATATCGAACCCGAATAACGCACAATATGCGATAATTCGTTCGATAGTCAAACGACCTCGGAATCGAGATCCGCGAAATCCTATGCGCTCGTGACAACTTAAAGATCACATTGGAACAGTTTGCACTCCACCACACTTGCCCACGCGCCGCCACACGCGCCGGCAGCAAGCGGGTGTGCAGAGAAATTCCGGCGACGGAAAATCTCCAAATCACAAATCACGCTCCCGGCTACAGGTCCTACTCAACTAGGGGAGCACTTCATTCAACTACGGCCAAGCCCAAAACCACCGGGAACTGGCCGGAATTTCGAATTGAAAACCGGCCAAAACCCTACTTCGAAAATCACTTCCAAAACCTCAAAATCGTTTCAATCCTAAGCAACAGGCAGCTAGAACAGATAAAACGAAGGAGAAAACTCACCTTTCACACCGGAAAAGAATGACTGAAGCGGTGGTGCAACGATCGGAAAACCTCCACTTCGAACCAGTCGCAACGGTCGGCGGTTCTCGAACTTTACGGTCGGGATTTTGGGTGGGTCAGGTCCGGGACTTCACTACGAGTCGAACGGAACCGGTCTCGGGGGCTGGGGTGGCCGGAAGTGATGGCGGCGTGGAGAATTCTGTTCGGGTGAACAGTGACGAGAGAAAGAGAGTTCGCGGGAGAGAGAGAACGCACGGGAGAGAGAGAGAGAGTGAAATGAAATGGAAATCTGATTTTTTTACAAATACCCTTTTCGAATTATTTACAATTTTGCCACCGAAAGAAATTTCATCGCCAACACTTCGTTCTAACTCCGATTCAAGCCTACCGCCTGTCTACGAATTCATCTCAGAACCACTTACACAACTAAACCACTTGTGGTCCCAAAATCCTTCCGGACAAGAAAATGACCAAAATACCCTACCCCAAGGGTAGTTTCGTAATTTCACAGTTAATTTAATTTTAACTTTGTAAATAGAGTCGGGGTGTTACACCTTTTGCTGGTGAAGCACACCTCTCTTAGCTGCTCCCAACAACTCCAACAGCCCATACTTGCCACCTGCTCCAGATGCCCATACTTGCCACCTACTCCAGCTGCCAAATACATGCTTTGGTATGATTTTTTGATAGAAAACTTGACTTTTGTTCATCCTTATGAGTTTCTGAGCTGATTTGACTCCCATGTGTGGCTGCCCATACTTAGCACATGGCTCTAGGGATGTAGACACATTTAAATGTGATGGCAGCCAACATGACATTTCTGTGAACTTGGTTAAGTCTTTGACGTGCTGAGGGCTCCAGATTTATCCAATTGGGCTGAAATTTATATATGTGATAATAGACACCCATTGGAACAACTTCTATCAAGGATGTCTCCTCATCCGACCTGTGTAAGTTGCTGAAATGAGGACTGCAAGATGACCCACAAAACTGGACTGACAAGGAGTGTGGCCCAAATTGGGTTTGTCTTTAAGCTCATATTCCTCTTATCCCAATCAGCCCTTAACAAGCATGGATTGCATCAAATGTGATCTCTTGCTGTCATAACCTACAAAACAAACAAAAATAGGTAAGTGACTCAAAATAAAGAGAAACTAAGCAAAGTCACTAAGTAAAGAAGTCATGCGAATGTATGAAATTATGAACTTATCACGCGCCCTGAAGCGTAACTGGGAAAAGACTCACCCCCAAGGTGCCCAGCAGGACCTCACCCAGGATTTTGAACACACCTAGTCGAACCAGCTAGTGATCTCCCGTCATAGCTCCTCGATCTAGTCTAGGCTTGGCAAGGGCAAAGGCCACCTTCATCTAGAGGCGACCAAATCGCAACTTCTCCACATTTTCCCACCGAAGGATCGGCCCCATATCCCGACCAAAATCTACAAAGATTGCAGGCACCGTATCTCAGAGCTTCGGCCAAAGCCTATCCCTATCCTTGTCAACCTCTACAACCCACGGGTGGCACACCTAGGCCCCTACCGAAGCCCACCCAGTTATCCACTGGAGAAGGTACAGGGGACTTGGATGACTGGGAACCTTATCACTCCGAAGATTGGGAGTCTTACCATACTGAAGCGTTCGAGGAGTGGGAAGCTTACCCAACCCATACCCACCCACACCCCAAGCCTTCAGCACCCGGTGTTCTCCCTCATGCCGACCCAGTCATAAGGCTTCTCTTTGAGAAGGTCCGACGTCTTAAGAGTGAGCAACTTCGTAGCCATCAGCCCCTCTGGACGAAACCATGCCCTGACCCCTTCACTGAACGTATTCTCAACTATCGTCAAGAGAACGTTCAGCCGCTCCGCATTGCCTTCTACACGGGCAAGGAGGATCCCATCACCCATATCCACTCTTTTCAATCCGCCCTCGGATGCAAGGGCCTTAGCGACAAAGGCATGTGCCTCCTTTTCCCTTCTACCCTTAGTGGCGCTGCTCTGAACTGGTTCTATCGGCTGAACCCCCGCACTATCAACTCCTTTGATAGCTTGAAGCAAACCTTCCTCGACCATTTCATGATCCAAACTGATCGCTTATACTCCGCAGACGATCTGTATATGCTTCGACAGGATGAGGACGAATCCCTTCGGGAATATGCCGCCCGCTTCAACCATGAATATTCCCGCTGCCCAGAGACAGATGACCGGGCTACTTACGGAGCTTTCAAAAGTGGTCTTTGTGAATTCAACTTCCGCTATCTTGCCCATAGCAACCTATGAAGCATGCAGCAGTCCATGCGAAGGCCGAGTACCTTAACTCCAAGTGTGGCCAGCCACTTCGTCACGGAGCACTTTTGATGATCCCCCACTTGCTTTAGCACCCACCCCTGCCAAACCTCATCATTCTGCTCCTGCCTTCGATAATTAAAGTACCCGGCACCCCAAGAGGAAGGATGGCTACCAGCACACCTTCAGCAATGGGAAGCGCGGCCGACACGATAACCACCATTGGTCCGGCGACAACAACCCTTCAAGGACAAATGGTCGTGCCTCGCTCCCCTTCGAGCCCAAGCTTAGGTTTGAAGTATTCACCACCCTCAAAATGTCCTGGTCCATGAGGCACCTATTATACCCATGTCGAGCATAGGCATCTTCTGCCATTTTCACCAGTTTACTAGCCATGACACAAAATCTTGCATTGCCCTGCGCAACATCATTGAAGGCCTCATCTGTGAGGGGAAACTAGACAAGTATGTGCACAACCTCCCGCCTCCACTAAACCCTCACCAAAGGTAGATCAACATGATTTCCACCATCAGTGGTGGTCCTACATTGGTCGGGACCTCCAATAACTCCATCAAGCACTATGTCCGCTCTTCTTACGCACATCAGGTCTTCAGCACAGAGCACGAGCGCCTGCCGAAGATGCCCAAGTCAGGTTAGGCCTCGATTACCTTCAGAGAGGAGGAAGAGCGTGGTGTCATCCTCCCCCATGGCAACCCACTGATCATTTGTGCTGACATCTCCAACTTTGACATCGGTCGCATCCTGGTCGACACCGGCAGTTCGGTTAGTGTCATGTTTACTGACGCTTTCAACGAACTCCAGGTCTCTACTTAATTTCTCGACCGAAGCATCACACATCTTGTGAGCTTTTCTGGTGATGTTGTTTAGCCATTGGAAGTATCCACCTCCCCATCTCTATCGATTCAGCACCTTAGTGAGCAACGGTCACTACTCCCTTCCTCATCCTTGATTGTCCCACGACCTACAATGTCATTCTTGGACACCCTGCCTTGGCACGAATGAGAGTTTTCATCTCCACGCACATGTTGTTACTGAAATTCCTTACCATCCATGGCACGGGCACGGTGCGTGGTGACCAACTTGGGGCCCAAAGTTGCTATGCTTTGACAGTCCAATCTACCAATCCCCACTGGCGGCGTGAGGCCCTCTTAGTGACTAAAGCCTAACCCCCTCCAAGAGCCGGGACCGAAAGACCTGAGGACACTAGGGAGGAGTTTGTGACCCAGCAGGCCACACCTGTGGAGGACCTTGAACTTGTTTGCCATCATGACTACCTCTCAGATTGGCAGGTCCAGATCATCACTACCTTCTTGCCCAACCTTCACTCTGCCCTCACAGCCTTCCTTCGTGTAAAATCCAAGGTCTTTACCTGGTCCTACAATGACATGCCTGGTATATCGCCCGATATCATTTCCCATTGGCTCAACATCAACCCTGCCGTTCGACCTGCTAGGCAGAAGCGTCGTGCCTATGACCCAGAGAGATACGAGGCCAAGAAGACGGAGGTGAACAAGCTGAGCAACATTGGTTTCATTCAGGAGGTGGACCACCCCACCTGGCTGGCCAATGTGGTGATGGTCCACAAACCAAGGAAAGGCTAGTGCATGTGTGTAGACTACACCAACCTGAATCGGGCTTGTCCCAAGGATAGCTTCCCTCTCCCTCGAATTGACCAACTTGTCGACGCCACCGTTGGCCACACCCTTCTTAGCTTCATGGATGCCTATTCTGGGTCCAACTAGATCTTCATGCACCCTGATGACCAGGCCCACACATCATTCATTACCGATCGTGGCCTCTATTGTTGCAAGGTGATCCAACTCAGCCTCAAAAATGCCGGAGCTACTTATCAACGTCTTGTGAACAGCCTCTTTGCCCCACTAATTGGCAATACAATGGAAGTTTATGTCGATGACTTGCTAGTCAAAGGCCGCACCGCTGACCAGCACATCCCTAACCTATCTGCCATGTTAGCAATCCTCAAGCAGTACAAAATGAGACTCAACCCCAGGAAGTGTGCCTTCGGAGTGGCTTTGGGAAATTCCTTGGTTTCATGATCAGCTAGCGAGGTATTGAAGCCAATCTAGAAAAAAATCCAGGCTATCTTGGACATGAAGGCACCGAAGACGGTTAAGGACAGCCAGAACCTTATCGGAAGCGTCACGGCCCTTACCAGGTTTATCTCCAAGGCTACTGATCGCTGCGCCCCGTTCTTGAAGGCACTCAAAGGCCACAAACGAAACATCACCTAGACAGCCGAATGCGACAACACTTTCACCCAGCTCAAAGAATATATGAGCAAGGCACCTCTACTATCAACCCCAAAGCCTAGCGACATCCTCATGATTTACCTCTTTGTCTCGGCCATGATAGTTAGCTCAGTGCTCATCTAACCACATGAAGGTGCTGAACATCCGATGTACTACGTTAGCAAAGCCTTGCATGATACCGAGGTTCGGTACCCAGATATTGAGAAGCTGGCCTTTGCCCTGGTGGTGTCAGCTAGACGCCTCTGACCCTACTTCCAGGTGCATACCATTCATGCTCTAACCAACCAACCGCTAAGACAGGTTTTGTAGAAGCCAGAGACTTCTGGCAGACTAGTTAAGTGGGCCATTGAGCTTGGTGAATTTGATATTCACTATAAACCCAACTCGGCTACAAAGGGACAGGCTGTTGTCGACTTCATCTCCGAATTTATAGAACCCCAAGCTTCGGCCCCCCCAGGTCTTACTGGAACCTACTCCTACCTCAACCCTGGTTCACATTGCCAGCAACGACAACTTCGACCTCAGCCAGCATTTATGGACATTGTATGTTGATGGTTCCTCCAACGCCCAAGGTTGTGGGGTGGGCCCTGTCCTTATCTCCCTAGATAAAGTCGTCCTTGAATATGCCCTCCGCTTTACATTCCACGCCTCCAACAATGTCTCCAAATACGAAGCACTTTTAGCTGGCCTTCGGCTTGCCAAAGAGATGGGCACTAAACAAATCCAGATATTCAGTGACTCCTAGCTCGTCGTTCACCAAGTCAACTAGGACTTCATCGCCAAGGACACCTCCATGACGGCATACCTCCAGCATACCCATCACCTGCTGATAACTTTTGACGCTTATCGTATAAGCCAGATCCCAGGCTCTGACCTATGCCAGAGGGCAAGGGCTAGGTAAAGTACGTGGTTGTCGCTGTGGACTACTTCACCAAGTGGGCTGAGGCCGAAGCCTTAGCCACCATCACCGCAGCTCGCATCGAAACATTCGTTTGGCAAAATATTGTATGTCGCTTTGGCATCCCCCACACCATCATCATAGACAACGGTCGGCAATTTGACAACGCCAAATTTAAGTAATTTTGCTCCAACCTCAAGATATGTCTTTGCTTTGCCTCCCTAGCCCACCCTTAGTCTAATGGCCAAGTCGAAACTGTGAACAAAATCATCAAGAATACCTTGAAGACCAAACTTGACAAAGCCAAGGGTTGCTGGTCGGAATTACTCCAAGAGGTTCTCTGGTCCTACCGCACCACATTCCGTACCTTCACAGGAGAACGCCTTTCTCCCTTTCCTTCGGTACGGAAGCCATTGCCCCGATAGAAATTGGCCAGCCCACATACCAAACCTCCACTAATGATGCTAAAGCTAATGACGGGCAATTGGCCTTAATCCTTGACCTCATCAAAGAACTTTGTGACCGCCTAGGCATGTGCAACACCTCCTACGAACATCATGTCGCTAGGTACTACGACTCCCAATGAAACCCCTTCAGGATGGGCGATTGGGTCATGCGCAAGGTTTCCTTGGCCACCAAAAACTCTACCGAGGGTACCCTAGGACCTATGTGGGAAGGCTCTTATCAGGTTACCAAGGTCTGCCACCGAGACGCTTATCAACTTCGTGATGCCAATGGCAAGACTTTGCCTCATCCATGGAATGTTGATCACCTTAAGTACTACCACAAAATGATCACGGGACGCTTCTTGTTTCGTGTCCAAGTAAGGTTCTTTGTTTCCTCATGTCTCGACACTTATCTTAGGCCTCAGGCTAACACCTTATGTACTTTTTGCCTTGCGGCATCTATCTAATGAAACGTATGACTTCGACTTATCTCTATGATCGCATGTTGTCATTTTGCTAACACAATTGTTATGAAATAAAATATGTCTACTACCATAGAAAATAAAGACAACCTTGCCCCATGGCAAGGCAAAATGTTTATACAAAACTAAAATAACACATCATTGTTCCAAAAATAGATAAAATACATAAGGCAAGAAAAGCCTTTAGGCCTTGGCAGGTGGCCTATTTGCGGTGGTAGGCTCTGAAGTAGTGATGACAGTCTCCTTCACCGGCGAGGCAACTGCAATGGCATAGGCAGTAGCACTAACTGAAGAAGGCACACCACTCGTATCGAAGTTGATCTTCTCCAAGGTCTCCTCCTAGTGAATCTGCTCATCCACCAACCGGTTAAGGATATAACTGTTTAGCTGCTTAGAAGTTCGGTACGACTCGACTGCTTCAGCTCGGGCAGCAACAATATCTTTAACCTTCTTCTATTCCTCCTCAACAAACGCCTGCTCAAAAGGCGCCATCTTCTCCTTTAGCTCATCCACCTTTTTGGCAAGCGCCGCCTTCTGCAAAAGCAAGGCGTTTCTTTCTCGGATAGCCTTTTGCGCCTCCGCCATCTTGTCCTTGGCCATCTCCTCACGCCTCTTCATCCTTTAGATCTCTTGATATGCTTTAGCCAGATTGACATACATCTCGCCAAAGGTCTGCAAAACAAAGCATCGTCAGTCAAAGCAAAACCAGAATGACAAGAAGAAATTCTTAAACAAACATAAATTACATAGGCGATGTAAGGATCGTCTTCTGTGCCCGCTCTGCAAAGGAGGAGGTGTGCATCCTCGCCAAGGCCTCGGGGTCACTCTTGATGCCTTCTAGGAAGACGTTGACCAAGGGCACTTCCTGCAGGTGCATGGCCAGGCTCACCTCATTCTCCTGTCTACGCAGCCCGCTGAAGTCAACCCTCTCCATCCCCTTAGCAAAAACTTCCTCCATACCAAAGGGAAGCTTTAGCGGTGCCTGTAGATCAAAGGGTGGAAGCCTCGGTCCCGTCCCCATCACACTATGGTGGGCTTCCTTCAAAGCCTTCCCCTTCCCCGCCAAGGCTTTGGTGACAAGCCCCTCATCATCATCTTAAGGGTGCTTCTCAGTCGCCTACCTGCCACCCTTATTCTCAGCCTTTTTGCTCGAGATGCCTTCAGTCGCCTCTGCTTTTTGGCTTCATTAATGTGCACGACCACCTTAGTCATAACCACAAAAGGAAAAAGAAAACAAACAACAACAGTAACTCAAATACTTCCTCCCTTTTAAGAGTCCGGACTCTAGCAGATTCTTCAGTGTGACTAAGTTTCAGTACTCCTAATCAGTCTCCGATAGCAGCGATCTCACCTTCCCAACCTCGTCTTCCTTTTCCTTTGAGATAGGCCCACTTCATTGAACCTGCAACACAAAAAGATTCACTCAAACCTCCGTACCTGCGTTAGCAAAAACAAACGAAGAAACCAAAATTCTAGCAGTTAAACACACAAAACAACAATCTGTCTTGAAGGTTGGGACTAAGGACCTATAGACTGGAAATGGCTAGAAATGTGTTTGGCGACAGTCTTCCCTAATGGACACTCCCAGTCACCATAAGCCAGACACCACTTGTTCCTCCAAGATTTCTGAGAAGAAGGCAAATGACTAATGAAGTAACCTTTCTCTTTTGCTTTTCAACAATTGGCTTGCACTCAGCCAAAGTTTCCCTGTTGCCTAGAAACTGAATACAGATACATGAACTGCTCAAACGTTGGCTCCCCCAATCCCGCCAACCACCAAGCAATATATACCCATGCAGTAAAATCCAGAAGTTGGGATTATATTGCCCCGACTCATACCCAAGTTTGGCCAACATCATTTGCACCCACAGATGAAGTGGTAGTATGAAGCCATGGTTATACATATCTATAAAAATGAGCACACATCCCTCTAGAGGATATCTAATCACATCCGCCGCAGTAGGTAGCCTTAAACCCACCGAAGGTGGGATGCTAAAATCCGACCGAATCTCCGTTGGTTTTACCTCTGTCAGTGTATTCTTCCCCGACAATGGGATACCAACCCGTACTTCCAACCCCTCTGAAGTAGAAGCCACGGCCACCTCCACAAACCCCCAATACTCCTGTTTGTGCCTAATAAAACACGGTCATGAACTGATTGAAGGGACTTCCCTTCGGCCCTGGCGCCTACCGTTTCGTCAAGTATTTCGCCTTCCTAAGAGCAAAACAAAAGCTGCAAAGGCAGAACCCCCTCGGCCTTGCGACCGCAGTTTTGAAGGCCAAGGCCGAAGGCCGCAAAAGACACGGTCTGAAAAGCTGTGGTGAATCGCCACGTGACCTCAGGGCCCCACACTCCATTTAATGAAGTAATGCCTCTGACTTCGCATCAAAACCCACTAGTCACAAGAAGCATTCAATGCATGAGGGAAGTGACTGAAGTCAGGATTTGGTGATGGGAATCAGGGTGGTTAGGCGCAGACATTCTCACAAGTAATCTTACGACTTAGGGTCAGATCATCAACCACCAATCCAGGGCATTAATTGCGTTCCCATGGCCTAGGGGGCAGAACCCACGAGGGGCAGAACCCACGATCAGGGCGGTGGCCGAGATTTGCCGAGATTTATGGGGGTCACACCACCATGCTTCTCAACCCTAGACCACCATGCTTCACGATCCCAAATGCCGATTTGACTACCCACGCAGGTCTTGTCAGCCTCGAATGTCCCTCTAGGACTCCTATAAATGCTAATCTCAAGACTATATTCAAAGGGTTCAAACACTAAAACCAAAAGCGTCCCACGAAGCAAATTATATTTTCTGTAATGCACTTTCAATACCTTTATTTGCTTTCTTAGGAGTAGTGGTAGATTGTAAGGGAAATCCATTCATCAATATATCATACGACCCTTGATTTTCAAGGCGCCGGAGCACCATCTCTGTTATCGCCTCACTCACCCCATATATCATACGACCGTCGCTCTCTGAGCAACGCGTTGGAGCACCGCCTAAAACCCACCACCAACACCACCACTAAACGGCCTTGTAGCTCAGGCCGTGAACCTGACGGCCGAGATTCGTTCCTCACTCGGCCACAATCGTTCGCGTTGGAGCACCGCCTAAAACCCACCACCAACACCACCACTAAACGGTCTTGTAGCTCAGGCCGTGAACCTGACGGCCGAGATTCGTTCCTCACTCGGCCACAATCGTTTGATTAGGAGTCGAACGCAAAACAGGCGCAACATTTAAACCATCTTCTACCCGAACCTCATCATCATCTCGACGCACGGTAGACCGTGCTGGCACGCCCACGCACAACCGCACCGCATCCAAAAGGAGGACGTCACATGTTGACGTACATCCCCTCGGCCGGAGCACCAGGCCGCGAGATTTACGAAGGACCAACAACTCCTGCCTGATTGCTTGAGCCCACCTTTGGCCTCTGAGGCAGGGCCCAGAACTTGATCAGCCACAACCTCTAGCACACTATAATTCCTCTACATCTCTCTATACTCAGCCTCCCGAGAATCCATTGATGGCTCCCCCCTCTCACCCTCGAGCCCTACCATCCTACTCTCTATCACACCCTTCTACCACATACTCTGACTGGAAACTTTCACCTTTAGAACATACATACAGGCTCGGCTCATCACTTTCGGTATCTTCCCCGCCAAAGGCAGGGGGGTCCTGACTTTCTCCACCTGAACTCTCAGACATCTACAATATGCAGAAACAAGGAAAAAGAATAATCTACATGCAAGAAGGATCGAAGCACAAAAAAAGCAAAAAAAAAGGATGGCACACATGCTCTTTGCTCTACAAAGGACATTCGACAAATTCATATCCATATTTAACAAGTTCATCCCATTGTTCAACATGTTCATACCAAACATGACATTTTAATCCAAAAATTCAAGAGGAATGAGCTCTTGTGTGTTTTCTTGCTTATCTAATTACATTGTTGTGTTGGTCTTGAAATTCTAAACACAAATATGATTTTTCCAAGATTTTAGGTTTTATATGATTTATAAAAAGGTTTTGAAAGAATAAGAATGTTCTTTATGTTCTTGAGATTTTCATGAAAAGTTCTTGTTGATCCATAGGAATATTGTCTTTTGATTCATGGAATTGTATGAGATATGATGGTTACATGTTAGTCAAAAACATTTTATGATAGGGCCATAGGGTTGTACCTTGTGTCTCCCATTGCCATTTCATCTTTGAAATTGGCCAATGAGAATAAAGATGCTTTATGGGTACAATTTGGAATGTCATAACAAATGGGACCCTACACACAAAACCTCCCCTCCCCTTGAAATTTGGCAGCCACAAAGATGAGACACATTTTGGGTCTTCATGCAATTACATAAAAATGTTGGGTCCAAATTTAAAATGTAGTATTTTCAGTTTTGGCCCATAATATTCCCTTCAAAAACTATCGACGTAATAAGTTTTTTCATAGTGGTAGTTAATTATCGTCATGGTTTGACAATTTCAAACCACGTAAATAAGAATCCATCATCGTCTTATTAATTGCGTGTTGGACACAAACAATTGATCCTTTACTTGAAACAAGGGAACTCTTAGAGCATCTGCAATGGTTGCTCAACAATTCATTTCAGTTTAGTTCAATAGTTCACAGTTCATTTCAGTTATTGAACTCTTTTGGCAGCTATTGAATTGAAATGCATTTCACTTGCAGTGTGCATTTCAATAGCTTACAATTAAAAACTATATTTTTTAAAATATCTTTTTAAATAATAGAATAAATAAAATAAATAAAGTTAATTACGATGTGAAGAGATCTTTAAAAGAGACAAATTTTGAACATATAAATAATAACAAAATTTTCCTTGCTTGGTGACACTATTATATTAACATTTTTTTTCCGAAGAATTGGAAATGGAGAATAAATGAGAACACATTAGAGACCTCTTTTCAGCTTATTGCATAACAAAATAGAATATAAATAAGCAAACTAAAATTAAAAAAAAAGTAAAAAGTAATGTTGTCCATGTGTAGAGGTTTATAGTCATTACGGGGGGCCAACTATTAAAATGAATTTCATTCAGAGTTCATTTTATTGACTGTGAATACTCTTGATCCCTGAAATAAAGTATTGATATATGAAATGAACTGAACTTACCACTGCAAGTCAAAGTTCATTTATTGAAATAAATTGAAATGACCCTCACCATGGCAAATGCTCTTAAAGAAGTTATATATGTGCTTTATTATGCTGCAAATCTGCAAGCCAAACTCTCTATTCTCTAAGAAACAACGAAAATAGATGTTGCTCTCAAAACGACAATTAGTGATGGACATGACAACATAAAAACGCTAAGAACCAAGACATCATTACAAGGATATTGACAAACATTTGGAATCGGCAGATAAGAAATGTAAATATTAATTCCTATGACAATTGCATGTGTACAAAAAAGTGCTCTTTGGGAGTATCGAAGGTCAGAGTCTTGTATTCCGAAGCGTTCAGCAAATTAAAGTTCAAATGCTTACTCAGGTTGCTCTTCCCAAATCTCAATCACCCTCTCATCATTGCAGCAAATCAATAATCATACGGCCATCCTGCAAAAGTGGTGCAATTAGAGTGCCAAAATTTAGAATACTATTTTTCTCGATTGTAATTTTGCCTCAGGAGAAGGCAGAATGGTGACTTTAGTCAGTCATTCAAAGGAAAATAAAAATCACATCATTGTCCCTGATCAATCCTCTTTGACAATCTCATCCAGATGAAATCACAGACCAAAACTCTGGAAGCCGTTGAAGCTCAGCAATGGTATGTACCCCCTGGCATTTTTCCAAAAGGACAAGGTGAAAACTTCTCCTATCTTCCATCTTGTTTAAGTGCAAGGTTAGCAGCAAGAATTCACAAGTCTAGGGTTCCACTGTTGTCTATATCCGCCTGCCAACATTTTTTTTTTTTTTTTTTTTTTTTTTTTTTTTTTTTTTTTTTTTTTTTTTTTTTTTTTTTTTTTTTTTTTTTTTTTTTTTTTTTTTTTTTTTTTTTTTTTTTTTTTTTTTTTTTTTTTTTTTTTTTTTTTTTTTTTTTTTTTTTTTTTTTTTTTTTTTTTTTTTTTTTTTTTTTTTTTTTTTTTTTTTTTTTTTTTTTTTTTTTTTTTTTTTTTTTTTTTTTTTTTTTTTTTTTTTTTTTTTTTTTTTTTTTTTTTTTTTTTTTTTTTTTTTTTTTTTTTTTTTTTTTTTTTTTTTTTTTTTTTTTTTTTTTTTTTTTTTTTTTTTTTTTTTTTTTTTTTTTTTTTTTTTTTTTTTTTTTTTTTTTTTTTTTTTTTTTTTTTTTTTTTTTTAAAACCTCTGATTTTGTTAAGGAAAAACTGAAGGGATGGTGCCAATTTCATTAATTTCCTTACATTTGAAAGGAGGGCATATTGGAGTCATGATTGTGGTTGCCACTAATTGATAGGATGTTCCATGACATTATACGTTGAAGTCAATAAATTGTTTCCTGATGTCTTGTTGTTGAATTGTTCTGAATTAGGCTTCTGCTACTGCACATTCCTATTGTAGCTTCAGCTGTCATGATTATCTGGTGTTTGGAGATGTGTGTGTAGATATTTAGTTAATTGTCAATGATCATGTAAGGTAAAGACTTAAATCCTTGTGAGACAGAAATTGGAGTGAGAGACAAGTAATTTGAAGGACACATGAAAAACTGAGTGAGAGACAAGTAGTTTAATGGCATTTTTTAGGAAGCCTTGTGAAGAGAAAATATAAAAGAAGGAAGTGGGAAAATATAATGGCACTCTCTCTTTCTCTCTTTGCAGTCAATGTTAGGGTTTGTTGAGGGGGTTCTTGAAGGTGAAAGAGAGGGTTGCTTCGTTAAATGCTCTCTCCCTTCAACAATCTCTCAGTTCCCTCTCTTTTCATGTTTTCAATGGACGTCTTTCTCTCTTCTCTGCTCTTTCAGGGCCTCAAAAAACCCAAATTCTTGGTTTCGGTTCTGAGTTTTTTCACATACTTCCTCCTCATTCTCAATCCTCTCACAGACAGAATTCCAGCTTTTGTTTAGGTGTTTCTGCGATTTCCAATTCGGGTCTGTGTGCAAAACGAGTGATTCTAAGGTAGGGTTTTGTATTTGTTATTGACTAGTTTGTCTTTTTGTACGGTTTTCATTTGAAAAGGATAATTTCACTAACCTGTGACTGATTTTGTGAAGTTTAGTAATTAGAGAGATTGCAAATTTCTGTATTTTAACTGTGAATTACTTCATGCTTGGATGAAACTTCTATTGGTCTGATTGATTTTCATGCTATGGATAACGAAGTGCCTCAAGTTGCTATTTGTCATGTAGGATTGGTTCGTTTGTGATGCGTGTTTTCAGTTTCATTTTATGATGCATATTTAGTGTGGGAATTTATTGTGGTTCATGTGCTGTAATTTGTGTTTAATTTTCACTTAATATCCTATAATAGGCCGTTGAATTGTGTATTGCTTGTTATTGTCCAGATTGCAACGGACTGAATTTTTCTTAATAATAATGCCGTGCAGGGAAACATGGTTTCGCCAATTAAGTTGATGATTGGAGAGGAAGAAAAGTTCCAAGGAAAAGCATTGGCGCTATCCCATACAAAGAGTGCAATAAGTACGATAAAAGAGAAATTCAGTGAGCAACAGCTACGAACCTTCGAACAGAGTTGTTTTGGGCATCTCCTACTCATCGAGGACCTGAAGTGGACGTCGCCAATTGTACACGGATTGTTGCTGAGGAAAGCTGATCCGAAGACTGTTTCCCAAGTGAACGGGATCAAATTCATTGTTGGCAATAAGGTGATCCAATTCACACCCCAGCAATTTTGCGTCGTCACAGGGCTAAGGTTTGGAAACCTTCCCTTTATTCCGATTCCCAGTAATGACAACTGCTCATTGAAAAGGAAGTATTTTGGCAACAATAAAACAGTGAGCCTGTTGGAATTAGAAAAAGCCTTCCGCGACTGCGCTGATGCGGATGATGCATTGAAGCTCGGCTTTGTATACTTCGCTGTGTTTGTGCTGTTGGGCAGTGAAAAACATGTCCACATTGACATGCGATATTTGAAGTTGGCCGAAGACCTTGAAGATTTTGGTAAATATCCATGGGGTGCTGTGTCTTATGCGAAGACAAATGCGTCACTGCTGAGGGCACTGTGTGCAGATTACCAGCGAGTGAAAGGGCCGAAAAAAGCTTCGAAAACAAAAAAATCTGAAAAGCAAGTAAAGACAACGGCAACCGGTAGACCAAGAGAGTACCACCTAAAGGGGTTTGCCTTTGCACTTCAGGTGAGCACATTTCGATTCCTGTTGAAGTTAAATATCATTTGTTTACAGTAATGGGTTCTAAAACAGTAATGGGGGAGAGAGAGAGAGAGAGAGAGAGAGAGAGAGAGAAATTGAGAGCTGCATTGGAGGAGCTAAAACATCATTTGTTCATGTTTATTTTCTGTAATTATTACTTATTTGGGGGATTGATTGGTTTAGTTGTTGAAGGATGAAGACGAATAAAAGGAACTCTGTCCACTGTTATTGTTTTTTGACAGATTCTTTTGACTAATGATATTGTGTTTGTGTGTGTGTGTTGATAGATATTTTGTGTGTGAGAGAGAGAGAGAGAGCGAGAGAGAGAGAGAGAGAGAGAGAGAGAGCAAATTGGGTGGCTGTTCTGGGCGGCTGTGGTATTTAAAAAAAGAATTCTACAAAGAAATATAATAATTTGCAAAGTTAAAAAATTGATGGGAAAGGGGAGAAACATTCAAGGGAGGGGGTCAGGGGTAGAAGGGAATTCAAGAATAGAAAATGGACAGAAGGTTTTATTTTATTTAATTAGTAATATTATTCTGTTTTTGCTGAATATTATATCATTAATATTGATGATGAGCCCCGTGTTTTTCTATCAACAACCCTAAGTTAACACTAATGACCTCATTATAGAAATAAGTTGTCAGAAAAACAAGTTTACATTTTCACCCCTTTATGTAAGTGGGGGATATTGGATATTAGGAAATAATCTGTTTTTCCTGATTTGTGTTGAATGCTCTTAGACTAATGACTAATGTGGCCCGAACCACTTTTAGCCTCTATGCATCTCTAGATGGCTGTATTTCGTTTAACTTTTGTCAATCATAGGGCAAGGTTTAGACTGCAATTAATACATGCTAATTATTTCTCTTTATTGTATTCTTGGCTTTTCATGCCCTATTTAAGGTTATAGCATGTGATCTCTAAGGCTTTTCTTCCTGAAACCAGATTTGGGCTTATGAGGTATTTCCAGCGTTGGCTGCACTACATTTGGTGGTGCACGAACATAATGCCTACATCCCTCGTATACTACATTGGAGGAGCAACACTTTGCCGCGTTTTTATGAGCTCATGAGCCAAGTCTTCGAAAACCGTGAGGTTAGTTCAGTTTGTAATGATAATCTTAGGCATATGAAAATATAATTTTATAAGTTTACTGATATTTCTATTGTCTGCGTAAATTGCAGGTTGATGTGCAACTTATCCGGCCATCTGTAATTGACAAGCAGCAGGCGTATTGGACTTGGGGTGACAGTGTTGACAACACTGAAGAACTTGTTGAGTTGGTTGGCGATGACGCTGAACAAAAAACCAGCACGTCTGCCTCTGTAGAAGAAAAAGATGAGGACATTGAAGAAACTGCTAGCCTTCCGTCGTCTTCTAAGGCAAGCATTACCTATTTTCCAATATTCCAATATATATGTCATAATACAATAGGAAATGAACTGCTGTTTTGTTCCGATATATTTTGGAAATATTGTAACACTTGCATTATAACTGATTGCAGGGTAAAATGGCGTCCACTGAGTTACGCACTTTGAAGCGTGACTTTGAAAGGATGAAGGATGAATTCGCCAAAGTTGTCAGTTCAAATCGAGCGCTTCACAACAGAGTGCATGAGTTGGAAGAAATGGTACGGAGGGAGTCATCCAAAGTTGAAAGAAATAACAAGTGTGTGGAGGATTTGCGCAACACAGTGGCATCAATGGAGCATTATTTTAAGCTGGAGCTAGAGCAGCTGCGAAAACAAGATGGTGGGGTGAAAGAAGCTGGGGAAGGACATGAGGACCTCGATACTCCTCATATGAATGAAGGAGGTGACAATGAATTGTCGCCATTACATGACAATGTCACTCCGCCCACAAAATCGGCAGCAATGGCAACACAAGTCCCCAGTGATGGAGCCGAACCTTCCGCAGCCATGGTCACTCCAGTTCCTGACTTACAAGTGCATGAAGCAGCTGCGCATGCACAATCCGAGAAGCTGCCTACCCCGGAAGATGTGGCCGGGTGTGACGAAATCTGCCAAAGACTTATGTTTTTGTTAGAAGATTGGAAAATAGCTGACAGAGTGCCATCGGGAGGTCCGATGAATCCTCCAAGTATACCTACAATTAGTATGGCTGCTGATGAAGAAGGTAGTTTGAGTGTTGAAAAAAAGAAGTGGAAGGTAAAGGCTGTAGACAGAAGCGCCCGGCCCAGACATTATTAAGTCCATTTACTGATCCTTTGAGGAAGAAGAGGACAATGAGTGTGTCGGATGCGACTGCAACCCCGCCATGTTTTGATCCATCAAAACCGCTGCCCATTGAAGATGTGAAGGCAGTAATAGATTTTTGCACTGCCTGGAAAAACGATATCAGGTTCGCATTCTTGACCTTCGAAATCCAATTGTCATCCTATTAATATGCATGTGTATATTTGTCATCAACAAAGTCAGATTTATGAGATGAGTACAAACGTAACCGTTCCAAGTTTGCCTTTTCTAGTGTGCAGGTGCAGCTTGAAGCATTTTCAGTGGGCGCTGATTTTTTCTACAAACTCATCGATGAAACGGCATGGATTAGCTCAAGGGTAAGAATACACAAATCTCTACTTTATTATGATCATTCAATTGTTTTCTCACCTTTTTTAAGTGTACAATTGTCTGAAAATGTGCTGATATTATATGTCAACTGTCAGCACCTGGAAATGGCAACCTTTCTTATCCGGAAACGGCAACTCTCTCATCCGTTGCTATTTGGAACCGACTGGACAACGGCAGATTATGCCTTGCAGGTACACTTTTTACCATGTTACATTCACTGCTTCATTTGCTTTCCCTCGTCATTATGTCATATGGTTTCATTTCAATGTCTGCAGCAATTTCTAGAGCCGTTAAAAGCGACTGGCAAGACACGTGGATCGAAGAAGGCAGCAGCTTCAAACACCAGTGACCTTCCAGCCAACAAGCTGAAGAATGTACATCACTTTGTGCACGGTACGTGGCAACACGGGTATGCCCAAGCTTGGAAAAAAGTCCGCAGAGTGTATTTTCCATATAATCTTCGAGAGTCCCATTGGGTTGCAATCGAAATTGATTTCGTCCGACATACTGCAACTGTGTATGACTCATATGTTGATTATACCAAATCTTCGAAGCTGGTTACACTTCTGCAACCTGTTAGCGATACGCTTGCACGAGTGCTGTACAATATGAAGTTTTATGAAGATTCTGAGGTTGAAGAGGTGAAGCAAAAGGGGCTGCAGATGTCGAGGTTTACGCCTTTCTCAGTTTGCATCATTGGAGGTGTGCCACAACAACGAGATGGGTAAGAATTGTGAATTTAGTTCATTTTTTCAAAATTTTACATAAATGCAGTTGTAATTTCCCAACTTATTGGCCTCACAGTACGTCTTGCGGAATCATGACCGTTCAATTCATCGAGCATCTCAGTGCTGGGCTTTCGGTGCATAAAATTGACCCGTCGAAGATCAAATATTACCGACTGAAGCTTGCAATAGAGGGGTTAAGGGGGGAGGCATATTTATGAGGTAAATGTCTTCATGTGTGTGAATTGACTAGGGTTTTTATGAGTTTGCATTTGGTCAACTAGGGTTTTTATGAGTTTGTTTATTTATTTAGGAGCTTGTGTCTTGTTGCTGAAAAAATTGATGGATTTGTGTTTAGGAGCTGGTGTGTCATATGTGTAACATGAAACCACTGCAAGAAATTTTCAATAAATTTGGTTTGTTATACCCGAATTGTCTTCTTAATCTGCATGATTGTTCTGGTTTTTATGAGCTTCATTGTGTTCAATTTCAGTTTTACTTAATTGCTGTGTGACGTGGTTGAAATGGGTTTTATCCACCACTTTCTCTACATAAAGTTTTTAAGTTTGTTTAGATTATTAAGAATTAAAATTTTTCTTGTTTGAATATTTCTTTAGCCTGCTGGATTGACACCTGTTATATTGATAGTTTGCACTGATCTGGTTCGTGGTGCAAAGGACAAGAGGCTCCGGGTTAAGGGACCCGTGAGAATGCCAACCAAGGTTCTGCACATTACCACCAGGAAGTCTCCTTGTGGTGAAGGTATGTTTCACTGTGAAATGTTCTTGTTGTTAACTTATGGCTTTATGGGCAAGGCTTATGGCTTTTATGGCCATTTAGTCAGAGTTTGGAGCTCCCTTGTTTGTGCCAAGTTACATAAGTAAAATTTGTTGCTTATTGTAGTTTATTCATAACTGACCAGTTATTGAAGTACAATGTCTCTGCATTTGCATTTTAAAGGGTTATGTATGTATCTTTAAAATTGTGTTTGTGATTTACAGGTACCAACACATGGGACAGATTTGAGTTGCGTGTCCACAAGAGGGTGATTGACCTCTTCAGTTCACCTGATGTTGTCAAGCAAATTACTTCCATTACAATTGAACCTGGTGTGGAAGTGGAGGTTACAATCGCAGACTCTTAAACTGGACCCGTTTTCAGTGTAGCCTTCCTACTTTAAAATGAGCTTGTTTGTTGTGTTCTAATCTTGAATTTAAAGACTTGGTAGTGTCGTTTGCAATTTTCTTGAGCTGTTGTTTTGATATGATTATGCACTCCCATGTTTTGATGTTAAATAGAAGTACTTTAGCGTCGTTTCCTTCCCATTGATGCTCACTGTGGAACGGAGAAATGTTCTCCTGTTATACTTTATTCTGGTTGGATTGAGATTCCGATTGTTGTCGTTGAACCCAAAAAAACCTAAACCTGTTTCATAATTTTTGTTTCTGGAACTCCCATTCATAAACTCTATCTATGTGTGTCATATGTGTGTGCCAGTTGTTTTTGCAGGTCCGTCTCAACCAAGTGTTGATTGCAATATTCTAAAGAAGATGACCATACACTGTTATTTGATGTAGGCATACGTATGAGATGGCTTAGCTTGAATTGGTTTGGTTGTTCCAAGTTGTATGTACACAATCTCAGAGTCAGTACCGAGTTGGTTTACATTTCATGTATTTGTCCGTGGTTTTTTTCCCCCAATATTATGATTATGGAGATGAAGTAAATATTAATGTGGACTTTATAGCATGTTTAGTTTCTTTTATGGCCTTAATTCTGTGAGAGATGCCCTTATGATGTCAAACAAACGGTTTTGACATACATGTTTTGAAATAATTGAAATCACACCGTTTATTATTATTATTATTATTATTATTTTTGTTTCCTGCTCGGAGAAGAAGCAAAGTGGTTACAAATATGAAAGATTCCGAATCAGTTTTCTTCTGTCAAATTCCGCATGGAGCTAGAGGTCTACGGTACCATCCAATGAGACTTGACAAAAAATTTGTATTTTTCTTCTTACATTTGTCATAGATAAGATTAAATGTAACCACTAATGAACTGATCCCTTTATTTGTTATTGTTTATTTATTCCAATTGCGTGTGCATCACATGGAAATCTTAGGATTTCTTTACATCAAACTGCCTCTTAAGAGTCATGAGAAGAAGAAGAGGAAGAAGAGAAAACAGAAGGACCTAGCTGGAGCTGACAAGTAATTAAACTAAAGTTCATTTAGTTAAAGTCAGGGGAAGAAAACATGTTTATGGCACCCTAAACCAGGCAAAACACTGGTGTTGGAAGGAGATGTAAAAGGGTTATTGTGCATTCCATGGCCAAGCTTGAATTGATTTTCTTTTCTATTGTATTTGACCCTTCTTTTCAAGCATGCCAAAAATCATCATGGTTTTGTAAGATGTGGTTTGAGCCCAATGAATTTACCGTGGCTCTTGCATTTTTGTACCCAATATTTCAAAGCTGCCTTCTTTTGAAGGACGATTCATTGAGGGACAGAATTACTTTCCTTTTGAATATGAATCGATGTGCAACTCCAACTATCATTTCAAAAGGAAACATCAATTCATGGTAATATAAGGATGGATAACAATTGTCCTGTCCGTGATATTTGAATTGAGGATTACTTTGAACGAAATGGAGACTGTTATTAGACCAAATGGCATTGACATACGATGTAATAGCAATATTAGGCCAATATACTTCACTGTAGAGGCAATATTAAAGCAATATAAGTACAATACCATAGGGATATGATCACAATATACTTCTCATAGGGTGGCAATATACATACAATATGTATACAATACGAAGGCAATATTAAACAATATACATACAATATGTGTACAATACGAAGGCAATATTAAACAATATACATACAATATGTATACAATACGAAGGCAATATTAAGCAATATACATGCAATATGTATACAATACCAAGGCAATATTAAGCAATATACACGCAATATAACAGCAATATGAAGTGAATCTACATACAATACACACACATCCAAAAAGTACGACTACATTTGACACATGCAAACCAAATCGCCTCCGAACCTTAACAATCCTATTCCGCGAAGGAAAACCGAAGGCACCAAAAGATCCATGTAATCGGGTGAGATGAACTGCAGCAGCACTTACCCTTACTACAGGTCCATGAAAAGATCAATGTCTTTGGGCTTTCTCCTCGCTGCATGCACGAGGCTATGATGAGCCATTCCCTCAGCACCCATATTCAGCACCTGCCAGACACCAGGTACATCAATTTCACTCCAATTGTAGTCTGGTGAGATGACCGACGCATAATCTCGGAACATTTCGAAGCCGTTGTTGAAACATTCAACCATTTCATGGTTATATTCTTCAGATTTGGTGAATTTATCGACGGCATTTTTCTTTATCTCTTCCAATTTCAACTTCAACGACTCTAACTCTTTGCTCCGACTGTTTGCTTTTAAAGTTTGCTTCACTTCTCCAGCATATGCTTTGTTCAACTTGTTGGCCAAATTTCCCATAACTTGGCCATGAATATCACATTTAGTCTCCCACCAATCTGTTGCCTTAGACAAATATTGGAGGTCGTGCTTGACGGCTGAGATTTTGTCAAGCGGATCACTGCTCTCAGCCTCACTTCCAGATGAAGTGGGATCATGATTGGGAGTCGGAGGTGGAGATGGGAATGGCACATGCCATGGCTGGTCCCCCGGGTAACTGCCATGCTCGTTTGGAGGGCGTACATCCGACATCTTGAACTATTGATGGGGACAATTCACACCTGGCGACTGAATGTTTGCATTTGAGTACGACTCATTACCTTTCTGAGGTTGAAGAAGTTGGCTAAGTTGCAATTATTGATAGGAAGCTTGAGTTATATGTAGGAATTGATATTAAGTACATTCGGTATGTAGGTGGTGCATTCAATTGATGGGATTGCAAAGTAGACCATTAACTCGTTGGCTGTAATTCACAGCAGTACAGCATTACATTAACAACAATAAAATGGGCTGACAAACGGAAAAAAGCTAACCTTCATGGGAAATTGGAAAGTGTGGATTTGAACCCAAACAAGGACTATGTAACTAAGCATTTATTGCGAATTTCAGAAAAGAAAATTGGAACATAGCAAAATAGCAAATTAGCAAAAGTGCAAACTTGGAAAATGAGAAATAAGGAAACTTGGAAAATTGGAAATAGAACAAAAGGAAAATTTTACAAATTGGGAATTTGGAAATTTGGAAATTTGGAAAATCGGAAATACAAAAATACGAAAATACAAAAAAATGGAAGCTTGGAATTTTGGAAAAGTGGAAATAGGAAAAAAGGAAAATTAGAAACAGGAAACTAGGAAATAGGATAAAAGGACACTTGGAAATTTGGAAAAAGCCAAAAAGGACACTTCAAAAATTGGGTCATTGGAAAATAAAGACTCTTCGAAAATTGGAAAATTGGAAATTGAACAAAAGGAAACTTGGAAAATAGGCAAAAGGCAAAAAAGGAAACTCTGAAAACATGAAAATTCGAAAAAAGGAAAATTCGAAAAATCGAAATAGGAAATAGGAAAAAAGGACACTTGGAAAATAGGCAAATTCGCAAATTGGAAAATTGAAAATTGGATAATTGGAAAATTGGACTATTGGATAACTGGATAATTGGAAATTAGGAAATAAGGCAACTTTGAAAATAGCAAAATTGGAAATACAACAAAAGGAAAGTTAGCAAATTGGAAAATTGGAAATAGGAAAAAAAGGAAACTTAGAAAATAGGGCAATTGGAAAAAAGCAAATTGGATAATTGGACAAAAACTGAAAATTGGATAAATGGAAATAGGAAACAGGGACACGTGGAAAATAGGCAAATTGGAAACGAATTGAAATTGTGGAAATGGGAAATAAAACAATTACCATATTGGACAATTTTATTTACTTTCTCAATTAGGCAAAGTAGGCAACTTATTTTAATTACATAATGGGAAAATAGGAACATTGAAAAGATTGGAAAACTGGAAATAGTATAAAAGGAAACTTGGGAAATTGCAAAATACGAAAATGGGAAATAGGAAAAATAGGCAAAAATAATGAAAAATTGGATGACACATGGAAAATAGGAAAATATGAAAAATGGAAACATGGAAACGAATTGAGATTGCTGAAATGAGAAATAAGACAATAACCATATTGGTCAATTTGAATGAGTTGGTCAATTAGGCAAATAGGCAAATCCCTTATTTGAATTACATAATGGGAAAATTACCAAGTTCGGAACATCCAAAATAGAAATATATTAGAAAAAGTCATACAGTGAAGTGGGTAATAACTCCCGCCCAAGACTATCCCGCCTAAGACTCCCGCCAATCCCTCCCGCCAATCCCTCCAATCCCTCCCGCCAATTACTCCCCCTCATTCCTCCCGCCAATAACTCTGTCATTTACTCCATGCTGAAAAGGCTGCCTATTTATTAATCAACCTAGCTGAATGGAAGGTGAAAACGGCAATCACATTAACTGCAGCCATTACCTTCCCCATCAGCCTCACTTCCATCCCTTTATTTCCAATTAAGTCATACAGCAGCCTACAATAAATATCGAAGACCATGGATCATAACCTCACACCAAACCAAACGCTTTCAATTACTGAAGGAGGGAAGATTGAAACAGAAGGCAAGTCACCCAATTCACTCACTGCAGACTTGGTCCATGGCATGCAGCAATGTCGAGCCAATACAATGTTTTGGAAAAATCTCCATGCAGACATAGTTTCAAAAATTGTGGAGGGCCAAGCTAGATGGGGTGTCATAAAAAACCGCACAATTCGCTCTCGTTATCATGCCCGCATGCATCTCCTACATATAAAGGCAATGAAAGGAAAAATTGAAATTGCCCCTGCCACTGCAATTATGGTATTCAAGGAATCAGAAGAAATGGCCAAGTTGAAGCAACAAGAAGTGGAAAGCGGATTCGAACTATTTCGTAAGTTTGCAAAAATAGTGGATCCGGCAGGAAACTGGGACAACATGACTGTGGCCGGGGTCATGAATTTCATGGGTCGTGGTCGCCGCACTTGAAGAGTATGCAACTTCGAATTTGTCAATAGCAGGGAAATGGAACTATGAGGTCGCCTCTTTTTGTATTATGTAACGATGGGGTGGCCTGTTGTTGTATTATGTTTTTTTTTGGTCGAATGTTGTTGTATTATGTAAGTTTGGAAATAGGATTTTATGGAATGATGATGCCTCTTTTTGTTTTTGTGCGTATACAGTTTATCAGTGTCCAGTTGAGTGGCGATATAGCAGCAATAACTATACAATAAACATGCGTATAATGGCAATATTATGTCAATAAGGGTGCAATAGAGTAGTGATAGGGTTACAATATGATCATATTACAGTACGTAGTCATCAGAATGTTTTTAAAATTATTTGGTCCAAAAAAATACAAAAATACAAAAAATAAAAGTAATTACAACCTGGAAAAAGGATGAATTATACATCCCTTAAAAGACATATGACCTACATTACAGACCTTCAAAATGAACTCTATATATATAATGCATGCCTTGTAGCACCATCACCCCCCCCCCCCCCCCAATTACAGAAACATGACACCCCAAAACCTCGTGCTCCTTCCTCTTTCAACCCCTAAATTATCCATTGGACATGAGCAATCTATTGGGGTTAACATTCGTAATGCTCCTTCAACAACGATATGTAGTCAAACACATAGGACATTTCACCTTGTATTTGCCCCACATGTGGCCTATGCATCGGCCGAATTTGTAATCACAAAAGAAGGTATAGTCGGAGTATCACGGTAACTGTGTCATAAAGGAATTCAAAGAACTTGAATGTTTTGGATCCATTTGGAATTACATTCCAGGCCCTTTAATTTCGCACTCAAATTATAATAGCAATATGGAAGTAATACCATGGCAATAAAAGTACAATATAATGGCAATCTGGACGCAATACAGCATGCTGTAGCAATGCAACCCAAATTATGCAAATGTAAAAGAATTCCCATTCAACATAACACGAAACCCACCACAAATAAAAGTAAAGTTGACATGACCTACCAAAGCAACAGAAATCATATTGTCTAAGATACATTGCGCAGTGGAATAGTGTTTTTACAGGTGCTTTTATTGTGGCCTGCGGAACCACACCTTGAGCACTTTCTTCTAATGGTGCCCTCTCCTTGCGAGGGAATTCTTATCTTCTTTCGTCTGCCTGGCATGACCCTTGCAATGGGAGGCAGCACAACTCGACTTCGAACATCTTCAGGAATATCCCACATTCCGTGAGGCTGTATCGGGTAGATGCTATCCGAATAAGCATCCATCCAGGTTTTCCGAGTGTAATACCGAGAAGCCTTTGAGTATACATTTACTTTCAAGAAGCGGCAAACTGCAACTACATGCTTGCAAGGTAGCTGCTCAAGCTGAAACTTTCTACAACTGCAAGTGTTGTTCGTCAAATCTACGAGGCCATCCATATGACCGTCCAAAACATTAAACTGTGCATTATTCACTTTAACCACATTCATCGTTGCAGCATCCTCCAACCTGTTCCTCAACTTCTTCTCTCCAAAATTGGGGCACAATGTTGTTGTGCACTTCAAAGCCAACTCACGACGTTCGGTGAACCATTTGACAAGGAGATTCATAATTTCCCCTATCAAATGAACCACTGGCAGCGTCCTTGCAAACCTAAGGACTGAGTTGATTGACTCCGCAATATTTGTTGTCATTACATTGTAGCGGCGTCCATCCATGTGAGCTCTAGACCACTTATGTAACCCTGCCTCTTCAAGATATTGAGCAACATGTTCCTTTCGCTTGATCTTGCGAAAATGACAATCAAATTCAGCAATGGAATAAGATTTCGCAGCCTGCTCAAAGTGCATAAGTATTGGATCACGCTTTTTCAACTTGCAAGTGCGTTTCATGTTCCCCTTCATATGATAAAAGCATATGCCATGTTGCGCAGTTGGAAAAACTTTGTTCCACACATTCTGTATGCTAACATTTCGATCAGAAATAATAACAAGATTGGGACACTCACCAATGGCTTCATGAAGTTTAGTGAAAAACCAATGCCATGATGCATCCGTCTCCAAATCCCCGATCCCAAAAGCAAGAGGATATATATTTCGATTACCATCGAATGCATTTGCTACAAACATAACACCCTTGTACTTGGATTTTAAATGAGTGGCATCCACAGCTATCACTGGGCGCATGGAAGAACAAAACCCTCTAATACATGCACCAACCGCCATAAATAAATACACAAAGTGATTGTTCTCATCAGTTTGGATGTGTGTTTTTGTGCCGGGATTCATACGCTCCAATTCATAGCAATAAGCTGGAAGAATATAATATGCCTCCTCCGCTGATCCTCTAATGGACAATAGAGCTAACTCCCTTGCTTTCCAAGCTTTCGAATAATGGATTCTTAAACCAAAGTTGTGTTTCACATCTCTCATAATGTCACTTGGTGTGTATATTGTCCGAGAATCCTTCAACTTCCTTTTACATGAAGTGGCTACAAGTGCTGCGGTTGCTTGACGATGGTTCTCACTTATGAACCTCAAATCACATTCATGGACAGTTGTACACCTCACAATCATGAAGCTGTATTCTCCAAATCTCGATGCTCGGACCCGCCATGGGCATGGACGTTGACAACAAACCACAAGCAACCTCTTTGTGCAGGAGAATTGCACCTTAAATTCGAAGTGGCCTCTTATTGCCGTCAACTGTAACTCCGTCAACAATGCTTTCTTACTAGAGAAAATTTGCCCAACTGTAATTTTCGGATTCCAATCACTTCGCGAACACCCGCTATCCAAATATGCTTCCCCATCATTTACACCGGCTTCATTGTACCGGTTCTGTTCACCTATTTGATTCCAATAATGTTCACGAATGGGTTCAGATTCTCCTCCTAAACGCATTATTGGCAGTTGGGCAGATGTGTTCAAGCAGCCCAAAATAGGAGGGGCAGAGTACACTGACACTTCATTTCTTTCAGTACCATTATCACCACCATGCATGTCCTCCACCTCGCTAAAATCAATCATATCCATAAAATCTGTCCCTACTTCACCTCCCACATCATTGCCATTTGTATTATTCCAACTTACTTCATTGCTTTCAACAATGGCGACTGAAGAACGACCCATCCGACTACTATTTGTCGTGATATGCATACTATCAACTACATCATTTGTGAGTCCTTTATCTTCTATACTCACGAGTAAGGGAGCTAGTTTTGAAGGTGTTACCTCAGAATTGTACTTCATAAAAAAATTGACATCATCATCATCCTCAATCTTTATGTGCTTCCACTCATTCGAGGCCACCAAAACTGAGAATTTTAAGCAAACCTTGTCTTCCCTGCTGTTTGTATTACCAATCTGATGCACACGGTCCAACAGTTCAGCAAATTTGATGGTCCGTGGAACTATTAAGCCTTTTGAGTCACCCCCTTCGTATTTGCACATCTTCTTCGAGGTGACCCATTTTCCATTGTAGCACACGAGAATAACAATTGTCTCCATTTCTGACCATGACAAAACAACAGTTCATTAACACAATATAACCACAATAACCATACAGTATAACAGCAATATAACAGCAATATAACCACAATAACCATACAATATAACAGCAATATAACAGCAATATAATGGCAATATAACAGCAACATAACAACAATACGACGGTAAAATAAGAGGAACACTGGTGTAACACATCAGAATCACACTATACAGATCTACTACATCAAATGGAAAATCCCAAGTTTCAAGATTCACATATCCAGACCAATCTAAGTGCAATTGGTACAAACCCAGATGAATCAGCATGGATATTCAACAAAACCTAACCCAAAGCAATTAAAGCCAAAACAAATTTAACACAAACCCAAACAATCAAAATGTAACCCATTTCACATAATCCCACTGATATTAAAAGAAAATAACCATCAACACTACCTTTTCGAGGTCGGCAATCCACTAGAGCTTCACGGTTGCAAGCAGCTATTCAGAAGACATACCTAAAGGTAGGGGTTCGCGATTCCAAACAGAGAGCAAGACCGAATATGGGGAGAAACAGACATAACGAATCTAGAGAGAGAAAGAGCTGCGGTATGAGAAAGAGAGCAAAGACAGAGACAGAGAGTTGTGCTACAGAGAGAGAGAGAGCCAAGAGAGACAGAGAGCTGCGAAATACCAAAGAGAAAGAGAGCTGTGCCAGAGAGAGAGAGAGAGAGAGAGAGAGCTGCGTGAGCTAAGAGAGACCAAAATTTATGAACTTGTGATAAATCAGCAATAGGAGGACAATAATTTTATATTTATAGGTTATAGTTTTGCAAAAATTGGGAAGGGGTGGTATTTTTAGTTAATATTAGCAAATGGGTGGTAGTGGGGGGTCATTTCCCAAAATTCTAAATAAATATCTATAAAAGTTAAAGGGAACGAAAAAGAAGTTTCCACCGTGCAGGCCAATAGGCAGGCATAAAAGGTAGAGAAAGACAGACACGGAGTTATTACCAAGGCAAAAGCAAATAACTTAATGGGTAAGCTACCAATATAAGAGGAGTGTGTTCACAAAATTGAAATCCTGATAAGATTTTGCCTTTGTGCTCTCTATAAAACAAGGAATGGTAAACAAAGCTCCTTCTGCTTCTTTATTCTCATCAATTTTGCTTCTGATTCTCGCATTTCTCTTCGCCATGGCCGATTCTGCTCCCAAATCCGTCGCTTCTTCTTCCGAATCGGCGGTCCACATCGTCTACACTGAGAGGCCTCTCGAAAATGAGGAGCCTGAGGCCTACCACATCCGAACCCTAGCCTCCGTCCTCGGCAGGTCCGTCAGTTTTCTCTCTCTACTGTTGTTCCCGGGAAAATCAAAAGGAAAATGAATCAAATGAACATGGCTGTGTGAATTTGTGTCTGTGTGTGTGTTTTTTTATTATTATTTTTTAATTTTTTTAATTTGTTGGTAATTGTGAATTTTTGTTGTATACATACAGTGACGAGGCTGCGAAGGGGGCTCTGATATACAGTTACAAGACGGCTGCCAGTGGATTCTCCGCTAAGCTCACTCCTCAACAGGTCGAGGAAATTTCAAGTCAGTCCTCTCTCTCTTCTCTGAGACGAAATTATCTAAATATGCTGGTGCGAGTTTTTTGGTTTTTTCTAGGGTTCATGATGACTATTCTTCCAGTTATTGGCAAAAGCTATTTATTTATCTGATCCCTGAGCAATATCCAGACATGGTTAATTTTTTTTTTTTTTTTTTTTTTTTTTTTTTTTGTGGGTATTGTTTTTGTTTGCAAGCTTAGAGTGATTTAGAGTATTTCGCTTGTCATTTCCAAATGCTGTATCGGTTCTTTGAGTGCTTATATTTAGGAAATTTGCTGTCTAGTGATTGATAGTTGCTTTCTGCAGGCTTGTGTTTGGCTTGTTTTGAACCCCAGACCTGATTTGTGTCCACAAGTGTGGCTACTTTCGTTATGACTTTTCTGCCATGTTCTGGGTGGCTAGCCTACAATTGCACTTTTGCCTGTACTATTGGATCTAACATATTTGAGCTTTAAAGTTTTGTGTCTTTGAAGAGTAAGAAAATAAAAATAAACTAAAACCTTAATCTTGGTTTTGCTGTTTATTGTTGAATATAAAATCTCTACCATCCATTCTTCTTTTCCAGTTGTTGATTTGCAATATCTGTGGTTCTAAAAAATTTCAAATTTAGCTGATAAGTTTTTAAAAGCAGTTTTATGCTACCGATTTTTCCCCACGAGTAACCCCAGTGGTAAAACATCTACTGTTTATTTGCTGATTTGTATCATAATGGTTTTTTTGTGTTTAGGCTGTACAACGCTTCTTGCTCATGCTTAATACTGACTAGTAGCTGACATGTTTCACAGCTTACATATAATAGAGGAATTACTGGTGTCTTAGCTGACTTTGCAGAGAAACCTACAGTAAAACATGGTATTTGTTTGTGGTTCTAGGTTGGCAATCATCTGAAATAGAGTTAGAAACTTAGGACATAATTACATCCGAAATGATTGGTAAGTGTTTGGTTTTTTAACATTTTGGGTGAAATTTGGTTTTGACCCTTCGAAAACAATGTATATGGCATTTGAAGAACATGTATGAGTTATTAGTATTATGTATTCTATGATACCTTTAGGATAGGATGAGTGTACTGCCAATGTGAGTTTAGTTGTTTCTCCTCCCAAAGATGAAGGCAAAAGAAGGGAAAATAAAATAAAAACTTTTTTAAAAGGCATTTGTCATATTTGAAGTATGAATGTAATGATACCTTTCTTCCCAGTATTGTAAGAAGTCCCAAGTTTGAATCCCGTTCCCCTATTAATAAATGAAAAAGAAGTATAATCAGTTTTTCAATACACAAAATCATGCACTTCACAGAATTCTGCACAATTTTTGGCATTTTTAAGTTTATAAAATGACAGGTATGCATCTTTATGCAAGTTATGAGCCCCAGATGTCTGATCATTGATAAATACTCATTGTCTTTCTACTCTCTACTGGCAGAACTTCCTGGGGTTCTTCAGGTTGTACCAAGCAGGACACTTCAACTGCATTCAGGACCTGGGAAGCTGCATTAGAGGAACTGAACTCAATACATAAGAAACGTGTTTCAAACAGTTATCTACTTTATGTATAAAACAATAAACTTGTTGACTCTTGGCACAGTGTACTTCTGCCCAAATAAGGTTTAAAATTAATGTTTAAAAGTGCCCCTTATGTACCTTCGTATATTGTATATACAGTTTTTTGTTTTGTTTTTTGAATTCCTTCTATTCCTAGTAAGTAACAAAGGTAGTAGTTGAGGATGCCTGGTTCCTTAGGAAGATGTCAGATGGACGACTATGCTTATGTTCCAAAGATAACTTGTCTGTTGCAGATGATAGTACCTTCTAGAGCCAAGGTGGCCTTTAGGGGAGGGCTTTGGGTTAACCAACATAAGGAGGGAAGGGCTCAGGTGATGGAAAGTTATCCTAGTTGTGTCCCTCATTACCAAGTAAACAAAACTAGTAGTCAGAGGTTGAGTTGGTAAGAATCGTTCTCTTTGCTATCATGGCATAGGTTCGAGTCCCGTTGTTGACAATTCCTCTTAATAGGTAATTTGTAAAAACCAAAAAAAAGGCTAAGACCCCATCTGTAAGTCCTCAAAGAGGTTTTGGTATGCCCTGGCTTTGAGATGGGATAAACTCTCTTCCTCCTAAACTTTTTTCATAAAAAAATTAATAAAATCCTAATGGGTTCCCAATGTTAGGAGCTCTATAACTGGTGGATAGAATTCCATTTAGAGCTACGGTGGAATATTCCGGAATCCAGGCTCTAAAGGTATTCTCCTACAATGAGGTGTATCTTGGGCTCTAATTTTGTTTACAAAGTCAATTTGTTTTCGTGTTAATTTTATGTTTACTTATTTGTGTTAATGTATGTTTATGTTAAGTTATTTATTTATATATGAATATTTCAACAACAAAAGAAATCAAAATTTTGCACAAGATTTTAAAATAAAAAAATTTAGTTTATAGACTTTGAAAGAAAAAGTGAGTACCACACCCAATGTCATATACATTTATAAAATATTAATGATGGTAGCTGAAGATAGGTCCGGTTGATTATGAACTTCCATCCCTATTTCATCTGATAAGATTACATTTACAACTATTGGATCAATGGAAGCAGCTGGGCTAAAAGTAGGAACTAGGCTAATGTAGTAGTAGTAGAAGAAGAAGAAGCTCTGTAGTAGAAGGCTAATAGTAGAAGTACAAGAAGCTATGATGAAGAGCGGAAGAACAGATTGAACGGGTTTCGGGTTCAAGAACATGAGCGTCGAGTTTCACACCTCAACATTGACAATGAAGATCAATAACCCAGTTCAAGGGCTTTGTTCAAGATTTTGTGGCGGGTTAAAGTTTTGCAACCAATAAAAACCAAGCCAGCATTAACAATGAAAATCAACGACCCCAAAATCGAAACCAGACCTTAATGAACAGCCCCTTTCATTGAAATCACCCCCGAACACAACAAACATAAACCAAAAAGTTAAGGGTTAGACCCATTAACACATAAAAGTCTTGCAAATCGAGAAAAATTTATCATAACATCGCTAGAGGAAAGAAAACCATAGTACCAAAGAGAAACAAAAAAATCAAGGAACACTCCCTGCGTGGTTCCCCTTCACCGTAGCTCTACAGGTGATTTCTACCATCCCTCCCAACCTGGCTTTTCTGTGAGCCTTTATTTAGCTGCGTGCCTGTTCCTGGATGCAAAGTCAGATTTGTGATACAATTGAAGATTTGAAGATCTGCTAGCTCGCACAGCTCATTTTGGGTTGCTGGAAGCTGTTGGTTTTGTGCTCTTTCATGTGGGTTAGGTGTTGACAATCAATGCTCGTGAGATGCTCGACTATTTGCTCCAATGAAGCCATATCGAAACTGGAGTAAGGAACCGTGCCTAAGTGAGGTCCCTTGCTGTTCTTTTTTTGTGTGCCTTTTGCACCTTGGTTTCCTCTTACTTCCTATTTCTAATCATGAATGTAGTGTGTTGGAATGTTAGAGGTGCTGTTAGTGCGAGGTTTAAGAATAATATGTTAGATTCGATTTGTATGCACCATATGGATATGCTGTTCATATGGGGAGCCTCGAATTAGTGGTGAGAAAGCTCTTTCAGTGGTTAAATCTTTAGGGTTCCCTGGTTTTGAAATTGTGGATGCTGTTGGCTTTTTTGTTGGCCTGTGGCTTTTATGGGATGATAACAAAGTTAATGTAGAGATACTTGGGACATTTGATCAATCGATTACTGCTTGTGTGACTTCGGAAAATCATTCTCCTTGGATTTTTACTGGGGTGTACGCCCATCCTTGCACCAGTAGAAGGGCGAAGTTATGGGATTATCTGAGTTTTGTTTCAGTTACCTTGGTTGCTAGTTGGAGACTTCAAGGAGATGTTGAGCATGGATGATAAGATGGGAGGAGTCCCTGTTAATCGGTTTAAAGGTTTCAAGAGTTGGTTTGAGAGCCATGATATGGTTGATTTGAGCTTTTCTGGGCTAAGGTTTACTTGGAGGACTCAAAAATATTCATGAGAGGCTTGACTGAGCAGTTTGTAATTTAAATTGGAGGATGTTCGTGGATGCTCAAGTTCGACATCTGCCTCGAACCACCTCATACCATAATCCTATTAAAATCTCTGTTCATTCTTGCCTTTCTATTAACCCTCTCAATCGGCCTTTTTGCTTTGAGGCTATGTGGTTAAAACATGAAACTTTTGATGATTTAATTGCTCAGGTTTGGGGACAAGCTACCGATTTCTTTGAACAAAACTTTATCCTTAATTGAGCCTCTCAAGCGCTGGAATACCAATTTTTTTGGTCATCTACGACAGCGGAACTAATTTATTAGCCATAATAAATGGGATACAACTGGCTTTATGTAGAGGTCCTCACCCTTCTCTGAGCTCCTTAGAGGTTTCTCTTATGGATGATTTCAACAAAGTCCTTGAACAAGAATTTGTGTTTGGAAGCAAAAGTCTTGCTCGCAATGGTTGTTGGATGGGGATCGTAATACTAAATTCTTTCATCTCACTACTGTGATGGGAAGAAGAAGAAATAAAATTGAAAGGCTCAAGAATAGTGTTGGGGTCTTCGTGGAAGAGGCTAAGGGCATAAAGCTTTGGCAGTTAGACTTTTTTATGGGGCTTTATAATCAGAATAGTGTGGTGGATATGAATACTTTTATTCCAAACTTCTTCCCTAGAATTGAAGATGCTGACCTGATTTCTCTAAGTAGAGGGATTGATTTAATTGAAGTAAAAGAGAGTTTGTTTCGCATTGTTGGACTTAAAGCCCTGGAGTGGATGGCTTCCCTGCTTGCTTTTATAAAAACCCAGTGGAGTAAATGTGCTCTAGACCTGTTAAATTTGGTAACTACATCTTTCTCTGAGGGTAGTGTTCTTGACAATCTAAACTCCACTCTTATCACTCTTGTTCCTAAAATTGAGAGCCCCGAGTCAATGGTTCATTTCAGGCTTATCAGTCTTTGTTCTACTCTCTATAAAGTGATATCTAAGGTCCTAGTGGCTCGCTTCAGACCCATTTTACCTAACTTGACCAAGTTAGTTATGTGCCTGGGAGACATATAATTGATAATATCCTCATCACGCAAGTTGCATAAGTTTAAGGTGTCTGAGGGCAAAAAAAGGATTTGTAGCATGGAAAATTGACCTATCCAAAGCTTATGACAGATTAAGTTGGAGGTTTATTAAGCAAGTGCTAGTGGAGCTTACTTTGCCTGAGTCCATTGTCAAATTAATCATGAGCTATGTTTCTTATGTAAAGTACAAAATTTGCGTTAATGGGGAGCTAATAGACTCTTTCACCCCTTCGAATGGAATTAGACAATAAGGTGATCCCTTATCACCATATCTTCTTGTTCTATGTGTTGAGAAATTGTTTCATATTATCTTGACTCAGTTCAGAAGGGTTTCTGGAAACCTGTCAAAGCTTTTCAATCTGGTCCTGCTGTTTTTCACCTTTTTTTTGTTGATGACCTCATCTTGTTCACGGAAGCTACTGTTAAGCAGGCTCGAGTGATGAAGAGTTGTCTAGAAAAATTCTGTCAAGCCTCACGTTAGGTTTTGAATTTTGAAAAATCTGATGTCTTCTGCTCTCCTAATACCACCAAGGTGATTGTCAAGGAAATTAGTTGTATTTGTGGCTCTCCTTTGACAACTAATTTGGCAAAATACTTGGGCATGCCTCTTCTCCACTCTAAGTGAAACAGTCTACCTATTGCCTCATTGACAAAGCGCATAAGAGGCTGGCTTCTTGGAAGTGTAAATTGTTGACCTATGCTGGGAGGGCTACTCTAATTCAAGCCATGACTTCAGCTATCCCTATATATGCTATGCAAACCATCAAGCTGCCTATTAGTGTTTGTGTGGAGATGGATCACTTGAATCGCAATTTCTTTTGGGGAGGAAATGAGAACAAAACCGAGATTCACCTTTGCCAATGGAATTTGGTATGTCGACCTAAGTGCAAAGGGGACCTAAGTGCAAAGGGGATTTGGGTTCAAGAAAACTGCAGTTATGAACCATGCTCTTTTATCCAAAATTGGTTGGAGGTTGTTGTTCATCCCGTTTTGTGTTTACTCATGAGATGGAAGGGCAAAGTTCCCCACTGCCTTGGAAACCATTGATTGGTCAACAAGACAGCTTTATTTGGTGTATGAGCGTGCCACTGCTAGCAGTGAAGACTCTAGCAGACTTCTTCTAGAAAATAGATAGCTTGCGCACCAAGTTATTGATTTCTAAAACAAACGATTGTGAATTTGGGTGAGGAATATTTCCCAAGTAAGTTCTTTCATGCCTCAGGCTGGTGAGGAATTTCATAATTTATCTCAGTATAAAAACAGTTGTTCTGGCCAGAATAGTTGATAAAAATTGGACTATTTTAGGCAGAACTGCCCTTTACGAAACTATGGACATACATATCAACGCTAGAAAGATTAAAAGACAATTAGGACTCCATTTCTGCCTGGACAGAGGGCTCTGATCCGAGCTGGACTGGATATGTCTGGGCTGGACTGAACTGTTAACAACTTCAACTGCTAAGCTTCAGCTATAAATCGATACCAAAGTTCAATTTTGGCAGAGCTTTGATCTACTTCAAGCTTTGTGAGGCTTTTGAGTGGACAGAACTGCGGCTTCTTCAATTCTGAAGGGGCAGAAGTGGCTATTCTTGAGGACTTGATGTACTAAGGACTGCACTGTGAAATTTGTTGAGGTTTTCATGTTTTGGGAAAAACTCAAACTCTACCTGTCTTGGCTTTTGCTGAACCAAATTTGTAACGAGAGAAATGACTTATTTTCTAAGTTTGAACTTTGGGAATTCTGATCTAAAGCTGGCTTCTCTTGGAGTTTGAGTGAGCTTTTGGTTGATTCCTTGTTGTTTGTTTGATTGATCAATTGTGTGTGTTTTTTTTATTTTGATTGTGATTGTCGTTGCCCTGTGCCCTGTTCACTCCCTCTTATATTTATAAGAAATGCTTTGGAGTAGGGTTTCTTTCTTCTTTAAAATAATGGGCGGTAATTTTTCAAAAAGATCTTTCATAAATAAAAAAGTTTTATCAATTCTGGCAAATGAGGTCTCAATAGTCAGGTAATAAGCAATCACTTCTCTGTTTTTCTTGAAAGATAACCTAATCCCTTTTTGATTCCAATTGCCCTTTTGTGAGAACTAAAAAACCATGATGGTTAGTTAGATTTCTTTTGGACAGTTCCCTGTTTCTTGCTTATCTCTTTCTGAGATTTGAAGTTTGCTTATCTCTCCTTGGGAGGATCCCCTTTTTTGAAAATAGAAGAGATACATATATATATATATATATTTATATATAGATATACAAATAATGCAAATAAAATAATAATGCAAATAAAATGCAATATGCAAATAAAATAATGCTTATATGAAATTACTCAAAATAGAGATAACTAAAAATAACAACTTTATTTATACTCACAAGAGTTTCAGACAGCAACTGCTGAAGTCTCTTCAGATACAAAAACACTTAGTGTTTACAAAGATGATTTCTCCAAATTGTTTAGAGAGAATCTTTAAAAAAAACTGAATCGTAAATTGTAACCTACTTACAACTGAGGCCGAGGCCAGCTTAAATAGAAAGAAACAACTATGGTTAAGTAACTGTAGTAACCAAAAAGCAACTATGGTTATTTCCACTGTAGAGGCACGGGAAAGAACCAATTCAACTTTCAATTTTGTCTTTTTCAGAAGGAATAACTTTTCTTTTATGCTTTTACTCAGGCAACTTTTGCTAAAGTGATGGGGAATAATGACTGTAGAGACACGAGAAAGCAAGTGGCTGCTTTTAAGATGCTTCAATCATATTCTCCGGGGCAATTATTGTATCTGCAACTAGGAGCCTAATCATAATTCAAATCATAGGCATCACAGGGGTCTGCAATTGAGTCCAGTTTGCAGGACCCCTATGATGGGGTTTTCTCTGTCAAGACACCTTATCACTTACTGTTTAGTAGTTTGGATTGACATGATCCCCTTTGGTCCTACCTGTGCCATTTGAAAGGATTTTTCCTTGGGTCTAAGATTTTTTTTTTTGGTGAGCATGCAAGGCATGCTTGTGGATATGGAGAACAGCTGCAGCGGAATCCATTTTAATCACAAGGTTCCAAATAGGGTTTGTCAATCGCAAGTTGCAACCCAAAAAAGAGCCCCAAAACCTCAGCTTCCAAAATCTGTCCTCTCCTTAGATTCACAACAAACCCACTCACCCAATCTAGTTGTGAGATGATAAATCAGATTGGTAACTGCTCAGTCCTCCATGTTTATAGGGAGAAGAATGGCATGGCTGATTGTTTAGCTAACTTGAGCTATAACTTCAATCTGGGCCCATGTGTGTTTGATTTTGCTCGTGTGTATGTATTGTTTCAAAACTTTTATATGATTTGTTGGTTGTTCCTAAGAGCACCTCTACCCCAAAGGGCAAGGGCAAGGTAGGGTTTGTCACTATTCACATAACAAGTGGCAGCCTTGTCTTTTTTGTTTCCACCCCAAAGAATAAGGGCAAGGGAAATTACTATTCACTTTAATTGATTTTCTATTTTTATACTTAAACCATTAATTTTGATAAGATTTTTGGATAAAATTTTGGTTGTCACGTGTCACTATTTATTATAAAATTTTGATCTCAAATTTCAGATAAAATTTTCGGATAAGATTTTCAGTTGCCACGTGTCCATATTTATTATAAAATTCACATCTCACTCATTATACAATTGAAATACCTACTCACTCATCATACAATTGAAATACTCACAGTCCTCATAGTCCGACACAATCGAATACAAGCACTACAACACAAAAACCCTTCTATGACGTCTGATTTGCGTCATGGAAGGCATTTAATGACGCGGATGAGGCGTCGTAACCTGCATTGTCGAAAGAGGGGGTCATGGAAACTTTTTTCAAAACACGATGTCTGTTCCGCGTCATAGAATGGGGTTTCAATGACACGGATTGTGCGTCGTCCTACTCTTTCCATAAAGCGTCCTCCATGTCATGGATTAAGTTTTGATGACGCTAATTGAGCGTCATTAAGAATACGACGTTCTATTTGACGCCTTCTTTTAGGACTTTACATGACGCGAACTAGGCATCATGGAACTTAACGACGCTGATGAGAAGTCATTGAAATATTTTTCATGACACATTTCAGACGTCATTGAAATTCTTTATTTTAAAAAAAAATTCTAATATGTTTATATATCCCATCATTATAATTATTAAAAAATAAATTAATATATAGAAGCAAAAATGAAGACACAAAGGCAAAGTACTCTAAATTATATTTCTATTACTCAAAATGATGCTAGTACATTAATATTGTCTTGAACTAACCCTACAAAGTCAATCCTATGAAGTTTGAGAAGATTTGATACTTGGACTGTCCAAAACAAAGTATGCTCCATGATCGTATGAGAGGATGTGATGCTTCATGTCCAAAAGAGGGTGTAAATGGTACTAAAACAATTACAACCACACCTGCATTAAAACAGAAGATTAGAAAATGAGAATGAAGGTCTAGAAATTACAAGCAAGCATGAATGAAAATGATACAGGTCTGTAAATTCTTGGTCCAAATCGGAAATTTCATTTGATAGAAATGTCTTGCTAAACCAAATGCCAAATAAAACAAGAGGAATAATAGAATCCAACAAAACAAATTTTAAGGACCAAAAATTCCTGAATGAAGTTAACTTACCAAAAAACCAGAAAAAAAGAAAGATAAGAAATAGGTGTAAGTACGGGGAAGGATGGTAAGAGAAAACCAACACAATCTCCTATCATTTTAATTCTGCCATCTCAAGTGTACATCTGTCATTTAACAACAAAAAAAAGTAATAAAAACATTTTCAGTTTTCTAATTAGTAATAAGATGGTAAGAGAAAACCAACACAATCAAAACAGCAAAGAATCGGCAAAAGAAGTTCAATAGAAAATATTATTAGTATATTGAAGTAAAATTCACAAGAGAAATAGTAGTGGAAGTGATGTGGGCACACACTGTGTCGTCAAATCGTTAAAGCTTTTATGGCGCTCAAGACGCGTCATCTTAAGGTTATTAAAAATATTTTCATAATTTGTGAAAAAATAGTGGGCAAAATTAAAGAGGTAAAAAACAGTTGTGGGGAACGAAAAAAAAAAGGTGGGAAATTTTCATAGATCTAAGACGCATAGGAAACGTCATCGAAAAACACTTCCATGACGCAGCTAGCTTGCCATGGATACTTGATTCCATGACGCAGCCCAAACGTCATAGACATTTATGACGCGCAATACGCGTCATCGATTTAAGAAATGTTTCATGACGCAGATCCAACGTCATGTAAAGTCAAAAAAATCTATGACGCGCTTTATGCATCATTAAATGCATATTCAATGGCGTGGATATATGGATGTCATTGAAATGATATCACAAATCAGCTTCAATGACGCATTTTAAAAGCACGTCATAGATAATTACATTTAATGACGTGTATTCCTGACATGTCATTAAATCCATGTCATCAAAAAGCCTTATTGTTGTAGTGAAGGACGACTAAATCATTGACGGAGGCGGTTCCATCGGATCACGACGTGGGGGAATATTTTCCTTCGGATGACATAATAATGCCATTATTTTCGACACGAAACGCACCACTGCAACCGACTGCTGGTATTGTTCACTTGAGGAGCCATGTGTAATGATTTTCCTCTTTTTTGTTTTGCCTTGAATAATCTATTTAAAAAATGAAATTGGAAATGCAAGAAATATATTTAAAAAAAGAAAGATAATAAATTGAATAAAACGGCAAATTTTTTAAAATTTTTTTTACGAACACGGAAAAAAATTCGAAAAAAAAATGGCCCATGTAGGTCTCGAACCTGCGACCTTCGCGTTATTAGCACGACGCTCTAACCAACTGAGCTAATAGGCCAATTGATTTTATTTAATTGTTGTTGGTTTTTTATATTAATTAGTTCATAAGGATCCAGTCCGTACGATTTTCATGGAAAGAAATAAAGGATTGAAGGAAAATGACACATGCAAGAAATATATTTAAAAAAAGAAAGATAATAAATTGAATAAAACGGCAAATTTTTTTTATGAACACGGAAAAAAAATTAGAAAAAAAAATGGCCCATGCAGGTCTTGAACCTGCGACCTTCGCGTTATTAGCACGACGCTCTAACCAACTGAGCTAATAGGCCA